ATAGGTGGAATTACAGTCTCTAATTAAAATGCCCTGGGGCACAAAACCAACAGGGATTCAATTTGAACATGAAAAAAAAACAATCTAAAACCCTCACCACATTGTCTTATCCTCAGGACTATGAGGTATATGAATTTTCTCAATGAACTTAGTATCTTTCTTAAATTTTAACTCTACTTTTAATTGTTCTGTTTAGTCCTTCTGGATACTCTCCTGTGAGCCTTTGGGGGATGGACGAGGGATGCTTGAAGTGTGAGTGCTGATAAAAACTTCGTTAGAGCAGAATGTCCTCAATGGGGAAAACCTCAACAAATTTTCCCAAGCCTTGCCTGCCCGACAACTCGAGCTAGTTTGCAGTCTTTCACTGACACTGTGTGGCTGAGGCAAGAACAGCAGTTATTTTGGTTAAAGCTCTTCTTTTGAGTCTGGTGGTGGGGAAAAGAAAACCAACAAAACAACACAAAAGCATCTGCTTGCTTATTTTTGTTTGTGGAAAAGTTACTAGCTGGAACCCTTAATCATTTTATAAAATAAAAACTAAAATACAGAAATTATTCAAATAAATAATGCAGGTAGTTAAGTTCCAGCACGGTGTCCTCTCAGTCTGGGAGCACAATACAGGAGAAATTTTCTCAGTTTATCTCTCCATTTCTTATTGAGCTTGTGAGCTTCTCTTCTTCACTGCCCATGTTTATGCATGTTCTCCCACCTTTCTCTCTCCCATTCATAGCTGGGAATATCCAGGGCTGAGTAAAAGGTTTGAACTTATTCAAAGCTTATTCAGTGTTTTCACTGGTTCATAGATCTACTGAAAATCTCAGTTTGGGCCACCATAGGATGCTCTAACTAAATAGGAAATCCATTCAGTCTGTGGTGTCTCCCATTTTTTTCTTAGAAAGACTGGTGCTAGCCTCATCTTTCATGATTTTGGAGTACTCCTTGGCAAAATCCACTTCCAGTTGAGAAGTGTTCCTACCTTTTTCATCACTGCTTATCTTCTCCAGGTCAGCAAGAAAGCTGCTGATGTCTGTCATTCCCTCTGTGTAGGCAGATGTTGTACTTCAGTGAGACATCTTTGTCTGGCATGTTCCTGTAGGGTTTGCACAGGATCTTCATGGCTTCACTTCTCTGTTGAACTATTTGAGATGAATGGGATGAGAGTAGAGAGCATACAAAATTATTTTGCTAGGATACTTTATTACTTCTAATATATTCAATGGCATAGTCTGACTACTTTGCACTCTCGTAAAATAATATTTTTTTTAACATCCTACAGAGACCTTTTCTCTGTGATCTGCTAGATTACTGGTGTGGCTGTGAGGCTGACATCCAGGGCAACTGAACAAGCTTGGACCAAGCGGTAGACTTAGAAAGACAGCCAGTCTAGGAGAAATATATTGAATTTACTTGCTGTCACTTATACCATACTGCCCTGTTCGGAGATCTTGAATCAAATGCTTACAGTCCTGTTTAGCCTGGCACTGAAGGAAAACACTGCCAGTGTGTGAGCAGGGTGAATGCAGTGCTTCAGCCAGCAGAGGGCAATGGATGGGGGGAAACGTTTTAAAATCCTTTATTTTCAAAGGCTTCTGTAAGAGTCTTTCTTAACCATATCTTTTTTTGTTTGTGTGCTTGTTTTGTTTTTTAATAGAGTCAGGGAATAAGTCTCTGGGAGACTTCCTAATTAATAAGGTAGTATGTAAGCATGCTAATTAAATCACACAAAGAATGAAAAATAAGCGGTGCAGCTAAGAAAGCATGAGTTCAGACAGGTAAACACATAAACATACAGAAATTATCTTTCATTTGTCTGTTTGTAAATTATTGTTTTTTTCACCTTTCGGGAGTCTCTTGACCCTGTAAATTAGAATTCAAAGGAATTCAGACTTACTTTCTTTGTACTGGTTTTGCCTCCTGTGCACTCCTGCCTTGCTAAGTAGCAAGAAACACAGTCCTTTTTATTTCCCTGAGGAGCAGCAAGTACTGAAGTTCATCTAAATTCCATCTTAGTTAAGCTATTGTGATCTGGAAGGCTCAGCACAGAGCTGTGAATTAGGAGTCTAATATTTTTATCCCATGTCTGTTTTACCGTATGGCCTTCGACAACTTTTGTTCTGTGCTTTACTTCCCTTACTTCAGAGATGAAAATTATTCATTTTCTTTTTAGCCCTTTGAGGTTTTGTTTGCTGACAGTTGTAGAAAGCGCTGAACACAACGTGCAACATGCAATGAATTGATTTCTGGCGTAGCTTGTTGTCAGTGAAATGGAACTTGCATTAGTTAACTTTGTGGATTATCTCCTCTGTTACATGCTGACTGAATCTGCATTGTCATAATGTCTGTTATAATTGTCATCATCCTATGATCCTATGATAATTTTAGTAATCCCATGTAGCAATAATTAATGAAGCTCTGGATAGTTATAATTATCTTACTGTGATAGATAAGTAGTTACTTCAGTAGATAACTGAAATCACCCAAATGAGCAGTAAATACAATTTATATTTATACTTTGAGCTTTTGATTTATAAGTCTTGCCTTTCGCATATCTAGGGCCACAGCCAAAAAAATAAAAATAAAATAAAATATCCAACAAAAAACAGAAATTCAGTATCAGGAAGAAAATAATATAAGAATTGAATACTGTGGGATACACTTCTAAGGGCAGAAAAGTGCTTTGCAGCGGGAATTTGGCTTGATTTTACAAAACCATGATTCAATCAATCTCAATAAATCAATAATCTCAATGTATTTCATTTGTAACTTCAATTCAAATTATATTGTATTATATTGTGTCATCTCACATTCCACTATCAAATTTAGTTAATTACTTTCCTCCCTTATCTCACTGCTGCTGTTTTGCTTTTAGACCCATCTCGGTGTGAGTCCCCCTACCTCATTTAGTCATGGAACCAGGCCAAACCAAGTCAGAACCACTGAAAAGAAGATATTAAGAACATTTAAATTGACACAGTAGGGGTTTTAGAAGAAACGTTTAAGGAGTTAGTTGGTAAAATTCACCTTTCCTGAAAGAAATTGAAGACCATCTCTCTCTTCCCTCTCCCACTGTCCTAAATCACCCCCAAATACTTAGATCTGGACATCATGAGAAAATACTCCAATCTTAACTCTTGCTGAAGGGCTAGTGAGGACTTGAGTGGGTATTGTGCCTGTTTGGATCACTGCAGTCTGACAGCAAAGATGTGATCCAATCTGAAGATCATCCAGAGAGCAGCAAGGAGGATGTTTGCAGAAACATCAGCAGTAATAAATAAACAAACAAAGAAATAAATATTACAAAATCAGAGTTCTGAAGTTGTACGATCTGAAAAGAAAACTGTGTAGAGGTATAATAACAATCATTATATATCATATCTCACATATGTGAAGTGTTGTCACAGGGGAAAGCTATTTGTCATTGCTGCCTGTGTACAGAAATGTTATATAAAGAGCAGCAAAAGAGAAGTAGATTAAGTACTAAAAGATTAATTTCTTTTTATGAAAGGAAATATGGCTCAGCATTGCAGCACATTTAAGAGAGGCGTGATATTTTCACCTGTAACAGATTTTGAAATGCAGACTTGCCAGTAGTGGCTTACTGGTGCTTCTGGTGTAGTTGGGTTGGCATAAAGACTTAAGCAAGACAAGATTTGTGAAGAAATCTATTTTACTAGAACAACTGATATTAGCTGGGAGTTGGACACAAGGTTTCATGCACACCATGCTTCATAGGATCTGAAGAAGCATCTTATCACAAGAACTTATGTGACTTCAAGGCTGTTTTTTTTTTTTTTTCCATCTGTGTTAGTTTAATAAGAGAATGGTCTAACTCTAGCTGATTCTGTTTTATAGCTCTTGAGAACCCTTCAAACTCTTTTCTGCGGCATTCTGTGATCTGTTTAGTATTTCTAAATTAAGCATAGTGCTATATCCTGACAGATTAAGGAGACTTCGAGTCTTCATTTAGATTTGTATGATGGATGAAATAATGTTTGTAGGAGAAGAATCTTTGATACACAGTCAATTGCACTGTTTTCATACAAGAATTATACTGTGGCACTGCAAGAAAATGCTGAGTATGAGTCTCTAAAGAGCTTTTGATGAATCTGCAATGTTCAAAAGCTATTGATTGTTACGATCTCTGAGGAGCTAACTATTAAAGTTATTACAAAATCTATTTTATGAAGTTTCTCAGGCTCATTCTTTGTATTTTTAATGTATTAGCTTATGAATTTATTGTATCCATGTTAAAGAAGGGATTTGTTTCATCTGAAAAAGCCTTTCAAAATTGAAAAAGATAATAAGAGAGAAAAGACACTAAGCAAAATTTAAAAGCACATCTTTTAAAGTATTTCTACATACTGCTTTTGATTACAATAATCATGGTCAAAAATATACCACGCTTAAAGTGCATTGCTCTTAATACAGCAAAAATTGCATTCATTTACTTACTTCAAATCATAGATACCTTTTCCCCAGGCAAACGGTACAGATTCTCTGCAAATGCAGTAAACAAATTATGTCCAGCAAAATAATTTTATTAATTGTTGTTGTCTTGATAGAGTTCATAAGACTCCATGTAGCAGTTCAAATCAAGCAGCACAATAATAGCATAAAAAAAAGATAAACCTTTACAGAGGTAGGTATTTATTGTCATGGAATAGAGCCAATGGATTAAAATAGTCATGAAGAATGTTGCAAGAATAGTCAGTGAAAATAGTACTTGAAGTACAATAAGCTAGTTTATGAAACATCAGATGTTTTCCCTGCTGTGGTCTGTGCAAAACTACTCTTTGTTTATTGAGAATCTCCCTACATGAACATTTTTTTTTTTTTCCACTCTAAAAGAAAACACACAGCTTCTACACCAAACAACATACTCAAATGTTCTGTCCCTTAAACAAGGGACAACATTTCCTTAATTCCAACAAAAAAAAGTTTTCCTGTTAAAACGTTTCCTAAGACATTTCCAGCTTATTGACTTCTCTTTCCAAATTCAGTTTGTATTGCAGTGTGGAAGAATCATCACATGCGAACAGTCACCAACTATTTCATAGTGAATCTATCTCTGGCTGACATTCTGGTCACAATTACTTGTCTTCCAGCAACTTTAGTGGTGGACATCACAGAAACTTGGTTCTTTGGGCAACACCTCTGCAAAGCAATTCCCTACTTACAGGTATTATTTTACTGTGTTTGTATATATGTTGTCCATGTTACACAAAAGAGAGAGAGCTGTAGTATCTCGCTCATGGTGATAATGCAAATCTGTCACAGCTACTGAGGTAGAAACCTCAGGATACCTACAGATCATAAAATCACTGTTCTACTTGTGAATAAATTTGTGCTTTGCAAACGCTGTTAGACTTGGGCAATGCACCTTCTGGATCGTTTGTCTAATACTCTTCACTTTTTTGTGATCTTTTTTAACAATTCAGAAGAGATATGAAACAAAACAAACAAACAAAAAAGCCTGGTAATAGAATTACATACAGAATTATACTCTGTAAGGGGACCTAAAAAGCTACACAAGTATCCAGGACATAGAATCTGAACTTCTGAAGAAGTCTGAAGGGACTCTATGCCTACATATATGTTTAATGACTTGTTTTTCTCTCTTTAAAGGTAGTCATACTGTCCTGGGAGCCAATCATATTGGCTACCTGATCAAGCCTTCTGTCTTACTGCCACTTATTACCAATGGACTGAAGTAGTTATGAGATCATTTGCACCTATATGATTGACAGATACCTTTTCTGAGTAAAACTGCTCAGGTGAACTCACTGGGCATAGTAGAGTGGCAGCATACTTGGCCTTTTTTGTCATTATAAATCAAAAGAATGAAGTATAACTCTTAATGCAGGTGGATGATCATCTCCATGCACCAAGCATGATCTGTATTTTCAGTAGAGACCAGGCTGAAAACACACATTCTCAAGGGCAACAGTTCTCCAGCAAGTATGTCTTCTACTGCATAGGATGAAAACCACAAGACTTTCAAAGCCTCCATTCTAAAGGGAGAAAATCTGAAGAGAAAATGAAATGATCACTGAACAATAAAACCAAAGTGATAGGTTATTTGCTATGTTGAATAGAGGGCTAAAGTAATATTGTCTGCTTTAAGTTCATTGGTTTGTTGTTGTTTGTTTTTTTATTTCATGGGATTCTAGATTTCCATTGTTCCTTTGAAAATTGAAAAGGTAAAGCAGTAGTACAGATATTCAAATATAGCAGAAAGAAAAAGCACATTTTAAAAAGTTGTTCATCAAAGAAATAATGATCTAACTATGTGACCATTTTTTGGAATAAGTTTTTCACATACTTTGCAAATTCTAAGTTGTATAAATTTATTCTTTCAGAATCTGACTGCTACTCCTACTCTGGGTAGAACCCTTATATGTGTATTGTATATAGATGTAAGACACAGAAATAGAGATATAAGGAAAAATGTATTTACTGAGAGGGTGGTCAAGCACTGGTACAGGCTTCTTAGATAATACCATTAATAATATATTTAACTTTTATTTAGTCCTGCAGTGATGAGGCAGATGGACCTAATGATCTTAGGAAGTACTCTCCAACTGAACTTTTCTATTTGATTGTATAGTAGATGAGTATATCTGTTTGAATTTCATAATAAATGACATGACATAAATAAATGTAATAAAACAGAGTCTTTTTCAGAAAATAATTTCCACTTAGTATGTTCAAATAGAAAGCTAGGTATGTTGAAAATTGAAATCATTTTAAAAACTGAATAATTACGTTTACATTTACATAATATTTCCTTTTCTTCAGACAGTTTCAGTCTCTGTGTCTGTACTAACACTTAGCTGCATTGCTTTGGATCGATGGTATGCAATTTGTCACCCTTTGATGTTTAAAAGCACAGCCAAGCGTGCAAGGAACAGCATTATAATTATCTGGATTGTGTCCTGCATCATAATGATTCCTCAGGCTATTGTTATGGAGTGCAGCAGCGTGTTCCCAGGATTAGCCAATAAAACCACCTTATTCACAGTATGTGATGAACACTGGGGAGGTGAGTGTGTCACTGATCATAAAGACCGAATTTTTCCTGTTGTTATGTAACAAAAATATCAGAATGTATTGAAAGGCAGTCAGGTTTCATAAACAATGTTCATAATTATATAATCTTTCCTAGAAAAAAAACTATTGTTTTTTGAAATACTCTGAATTTTAATTTTCTTTTATACTGCTAAGACTAAAAGTAGATTTGAAACCAAGTTTAAATGAATGAGGCAGCCTAATGTCTTGGCCATGTTAATGTTTATCACAGGGTAAAAATATTCCCATTTTTAAAAGCTTATGCTTATATAATTCCCAGTGATTGATGGAAGTTGCAGATTTAGAGAATTCAGTCTTCAGAAATAATTACACAAAAGCAGATCTCCTATTTACCTGATACATTTATTTTGCTAATTGATAATATTTAATTAGGTCTTTATAGATATCTCCTGTGATTTCAATGCAATCTGCATGTCATAGAAGAAGATGACAGAGATGTCATGGATACAAGGTAGCAAGTTAGTCTACAATTTGAGATTTGTCATAGACAAGATAATTCAAATAACTTTAATATTACAATCAGTTACGAATTATTCTATCCAGGAAGTGTTACTGTCTTTTGAGATTAACTTTGAATCTAACTACTTCTGTATCTGAATTCAAATGCAGGAAATTATAAGTATCTGGGAGTATCTTCTTCCATTTTGTCTCAGCTCACATAACAAGTTGTGTAAGACACTCGTTTGAATGGTTAAGATTCAACTCTGGTGGGTCTTGGCATAACTCCAATGCTAATAGAACATATGCATTACATGCTATCACTTTGATCCTGGATATAGTGACCATTAGTAATACCGTTATTCACACACAGGAAAATAAAGCCGAGTTTGCCAAAACACGTGATTGTCTAACAGCCTCAACACATTCCATATAACAATTGTATTCTCCATCAGAGTTGTGTCTGTGGATGATTCCAGTCCTGTGAACAATTGAAATAAAATACAACTTGACCACTTCTACTTAATAACTGTGATAAATAGGTTCAAGCAGCTTGAACTACTGAGGGCGCTTCCATGTACTATTCCAAAAGTTTCTCCCCTGCTAATGGCCTCTGTCTGGCCATTGTGGAATTAATGTGAAGACAATGGCTTTCGCATTCCCTGTTCTTTATCTTCTTCATCCTTGTTAGTCCTCTGGGACAAGGCAATGGGGCAGACATGGCCATTAGCTAGCTGGATGTTATTCCAGACAAAAAGATGTGCAGAAGGTATGTAGGTTAAACTAAGACCCTGTTCAGGTGGGACTATTGTAGTTGGTATTTTATTGGAGTGGTACATTTGTAGTTCTATTGTTCTTTATTCGCCTATGTATTTTGAACCCCAATCTGCAGGTTTTTTTGTGACTATTTTCTTTTACAATAGTCACAAATATGAAATGTACAAATGTGTCCAATCATTCTGGGGTTATTTATCCACGAATTCCTCACCTGAAGGTTAGATTGGAAGTAAAGACTGTCTTAATCAACCTAGGAACTGAAAATGATGGAAAGCACTGTAGTTAATTAATTAGAGAGTCAGGAGAGTATTGCATCAGGGAACACAATCTCAAAATTCCCAGATCTCCATTGGCCTCTTCTTGATTTCCAACAAGAAAATTAGTCTTTCAGACTTGAATTCATAGTAACTGTGGAACTATTTCAAAAAGTGTCTTATTCAGTATTGAACGAGGATAGTTGCAGCCCACAAATACATCTGAGCTGAAGTACCCATTATATAAAAGAAGCTCCCAGGCTCTACTCCAGTGAAGTGTATATATCCAAAGTGAAATCTGTTTATCTTCAGCTCATGCTGTTAGCCTTTACTCAAACATCAGGAGAGATGAAATGGGAACAGTAAAGGCAAGCTCTTGCCTGCAGAACTGAGTTATTTTTTTGCATGGATTCAGGATTGAATAGCGAACACTCCAAAATAATTTTTTTTTAATTGATGTTGAACATAAAATGAAAATAATTTCACATTAGAAATCCATTAAAGTTTTCTGAAATGGCAAAGCCTTTCATTTTACTTAAGATAACAATTCTATTTTTATCCTGATGCCTTTTCAATTAATTCTTCTTCTAGTGATAAAGCACCATTCTTGCTAGTTATTCTTCTAGTGCATTTCTTATGCCCTTTAAAAATAATCCTCTAATCATCTCATAATAACAGCTTACCTTAGCAACTTGAGAAGATGACCTTCCTGTTTATTAAGATACAAGTAGGTTGCTCAAATCATGGTATGTCTTAGTAAATGTAGAGTTAACTATATATTAACCATGAGGATAAAATATAATGCATCTCTTTCTAATCATGCAGAATGGAGTGTCATTAGCCACAAATAATTTTGATACAATTTGAATTGTCTAAAGATAGTTACTTGGGCCATTGCATAGAAGATGTAATTTTTCTACTGAGAATCTGGGTTTGAAATCACAAAGTCTCCCAAATAGATAAACAAAACATGCATAAGAGGACATCTATTAGAAAAGATGAGTGAGCATTGCAGCCAGAAGAATGATTAAAGAGCTAATATTTTCCATGAGAATACTTGCATTTTCCTTGAGTTTTATTTTGCCTTTTTTGACTATAGAGTATCTAAGGTGAAAGAGTAACCAGGAGGAGGCTGAAGGAGAAGGAAATTTGTTCCTAAGAAGTCATACTTGCAAAGAGAGAGTACATGTGCTTGAAACTACAGACACTCAAGAGCAAATTCTACAGGAGAGTAAAATTGTGTGAAGAGGAAGGTGCTTATATTTGAATGCTAACTGCTTCATTTAGAACTGGAAATAATTTGTGTTGTCTAAAATTAAGATACATCTAATTAAATATTTTCAGAGTATCATGTGCACCTTATATCCCAAGGACGTTAAATTGAGAATTGTTAAGACTGAAATTTTAACAGGAGGTGCTTGATGACACTTTCCGAAGTATTTCAGAAGTCTATACTAGTTCTGGGAACTTAGGACCATTGAAACATGAGGTGCTATAGGGGACTAACAGACAGGAGGATGTCTGGAACAGTCCAGGAAAATGTCAGAGATGCCAAAGCAGGAGACAGCACTGTACCCAGACTTAGGTTCAGCTGCTGAAATCTGTACTAGTCTGGTGAGTGTCTGGAAGGTCTGAACCATACTGTGACACTTGGGCTCCTAAATGGAGAACAAATAGTAGCCATTCTGACTAATAAAAAGATTTCAAACATGTGGTTGGACAGATGCCAGCAACTGCAAATGGTGTAATAGTTCAATCTAAAACAAGATGCAATTCCTTTTTAATTGCTTCTGGCATTCCTGAATATAAAATTCATTGCCAATTCTAGTCTGAGGGTTTTTCATTTTGAGTACTGTCTAATAACAATATTTTATTTGGGAATGCAGAAGGATCCAACTCACTTAAGGAGCCAGCATTGGCCACAGTTCTGTAATAGTCTGTAATTGCTATGCGCTGAATTTGATGATAAAGTGCCAAAATAAAAGAAACATATATTAAAATGAGCTCATAATGTGTCCAAGCCAGCTAAACACATTCTCTTAGAGCTGTTCGTGAAAAGAGTGTTAGCCAAAGTGCACTAGCCAACCCCTTTGCATATGATGTGGAGATAATCCTTTCCAAATACTATATGATTGAATGGAGACAAAAGGAAGACTTTGTGTTCCATTTCCTCCTGGATTACTCATGAAATAGTACAAAAACATACTGTCTTAATTCTGGAAAATAACATAACTGGAAATTGCATTGTTACGTGAAGGTTTGTACATCCTGTATTGCTACCTGGAGTGTAGAAAAGAACAAACAGACCCTGAATTTTGATCAATGCTGTAAGTTATATAAGAGCACTGTGCAGCTATTGAACAGGCACAACTCTGTTGAGTAGTGTTAGAAGCTACTTGAGTTAGATATGACCTGGAACAGCGTGTGAGTGATACTAAAAACACAAACGAACTATGTTATTATGTCCAAAATAAATGCAAGGAGTGAGAATGTTTGAACTATATTAAGTGGTTTAAAAATGCAGAAGTTAAAGCAAAATGTAAGGAATGTTTTAATGCAGCAGGAAGCCAGATTACTGTGAATACTGAAATCATGCTTGGCATTGTGATGGATTGATACCGCAAGAATAATATAGCTGCTTTGAAATGTTATTTTAGTATTTAACTAGTTGTAAGTACTCTGACACAGGAACATAGTTTGAAAGCAACTGTGTTGTGTAATATAATTTTCTCTACTATGTGCAGGTACTTTCTAACATTTTTACTTATTGAGCTTTATTCCAAAAGTGTACTTTTTAAGCTGTTTTACTTCTGCATATTGGTAAATTCAAAAATGCATAGGCATCTTCCTAAGATTAGCAAATATGGGAATGTTCCATGGATGCTCTAAAAAATTACTATTTTTCCCTACTCTGTGGGAAGTTGATATGGGTACCAATTTAGTTGTACATTTATGACTGACAGGAATATTTTGTTTGCTAGCCATAATAAAACCTTTTGAGTCTGGGTTGTTTTCAGTTTATATGAACACGTATATTCACATATAAAATCCTGGCAAAATCTGGAAGATGTAGTTTCAAATTTATGCCTACTTACTTAACTAAAGTCTGGCACTGCAAAGCAGATCTAAGAAGGAAACTTCAGAATAAAGTCTGAAGTTTGTTTAGTAACCCCTGCAACAAAGAAAACTGTAGGATACTGGTCATTTATTTGGTGGAGTAATCATGCTACATAGGAATGCCAGTCCCACTTCAATTCTTGTCCCTGTGACTATTTGTTTTCTTTTTGTCCCATTCTCTTTTTTCAACAAAACTGTAGTGTGGTGGTGTGAGAATCATTAATTTCTTATTAAAATGATGATCACTCTGGCAAAGAATTATCTTTGCCCTGTCCTACAGCCCATTAAGTCAGTTGCGGATGGCAAAAACAGCCTTTCTGCATTAGAGTAAGAGGATCAGTGGTTCCAATCAGACAGCTGATGTATTGCCAGGTCCCACAGACTGATTGATGCTCTCATTCAAGGAGCCTGCAACTCGCTTGATAAATGAACAGCACCCCAAACACGCCCTTCCTCCTCCTTTCTGCTGTGACTGTCGAACAGCTTTAAAGCTTTTTGTTGGCTTGAGAAGCTAAACAGAGTCATGCTTCTTAGAGAAAAGTTCTACAAAGAGCTTTGCTGTGTGAGGAGGAGGGACAGCTTGCCTTTGATGTTATGCAGCTGGCACTTTCCAGGTGGCTAAACTTCAAAGGCAAGTCTTAGGATTTTCCTCCAACCTGGTTCATCAGTTCTTTGTAGATAGCTAGGCTCATTTAATGTTTCACTTTACTTGGAATGGTAAATTGGAAGCCATAAACTCCAGATGTCCTTTTAAATATGTACTGTCCTTCCACCTGAATGGGGCCTGGCTGCCTGCAGAGCACTGAGGAGGCGGGTGGCACCTCCTGAATAGCAGGATTGTGCTTTCAGCTCTGACCTCCTGTGATCCCAGTAAGTCACGTGCCTTCAGGTTCTCCTTAATCTCTCTGCTTATGGAGCATGGATGTTAATATTTCCCTGTCTGATTGGTCCGTGGTGAGGTTGCTTTTTCTGAAATACAAAAACAATTTCACAATTTTGAGATCATCCGAAAATATACAAACTCAAGTTGCTGCTAATTATCAATCAATCAATAAAATAATTTTTAAGAAGACCCCAATGGCCTGCCTCCCACAGGGATATTCACAAGAGCTCGCAGTTGCAGCTGTTCAGGTGAAAGTTAGTAAGATCTTTTGCTACAGAGTCTTAAAACAAGTCAGGAGCTAAACACTTCTCATCTGACCTGTTTGAACACATATCCATCAATGCTGTGAGATATCAATGGCAATATTTCTACTGCATTCACTAGCAGTGAATACAAGCAAGATTTTGCTCATTGGTATGGTATATAGTTCCAATTACATAGCAATTTTCTATTTCCATGATATATATTTCTGAAGTTACAACTACAGTCAACAGTTTCAGTGAGAGATCTCATAATTTTGAAACACTGGGAAATTTCAGAAATTAATATAATCACTCATTTTTTTCTTCTAGTTCAAAATGTAGCACATTAATTATCATGCAATTTAACTGCTCATACAGTGCAAAGTTTTGCAACATACTGTCACTCTTCTGAATGGTCACTTCTGATTCTAAAGCTAAAGACAACTTGTTAAAAGTGTCAAAGATGAGGCAGCTTAAAATGAGTTAGTTACTGTTTAGAGAATGTTCACTGTTTTAATACAAGCAAAACTTAAGAATCATGGAGAGAATGTAAAGAATCATGTCATACGAAGGCAATGGGTATGGAAGCAATTGAAAAATAAATCCTGATAATAAGATTACTGGATGCATCTTCCATCAGTATGTATTGTGTCTGAAATACACATGAATATCTGTATGAATAATGGCACTAAGTGATTTTGACTTGTATTTAAATACACTTTTCTTTTCTTTAACTGTCTTTCCAGCTGAGGTTTACCCCAAAATGTATCACACGTGCTTTTTCCTGGTGACATACATGGCACCACTGTGTCTTATGGTGTTGGCCTACTTGCAAATATTTCGAAAGCTGTGGTGTCGCCAGGTAAGTCACTTGCATTAATTCTCTTTGCTTGCTTTTATGACTGTGACTGATTCTCACATGAACCCTTTTTCTATATATGTTCCATGTTGTTATATAGGATCTGATTTACATGGATTTTTACATTATCACCAGGTCCAGCAACACTGCTAGGTTACAGATACCTTGGATAAAAAATGAGAATTAAAAAATGAAGGCAGGGCAGTCAGGCTGAATGTAAAACTCTTCTTGTTTGTGTCTGTGAAGGGCTTCTGTGAGGGACAGAAAGAGAGGAAAAGTCAATAGAAAGACTTAGAGGGTAGAAAGATCTCATATGTTATATTTAAATACTGAGTATTCAGTGAGAGTAGTCAGTTCCTCATTTTGTTAATAGTTTGTACAGTTGCTTTTGTATTTTTCATTCTGTAAAGTCTCAGTTTCTGAGCAGGTCCAGTCTGAACATAAGTTGAAAAAGAAAGTTCAACTATCAGAACTGTGAGATTGGAATTGTCTGATGTGAGCCATGTTAACCTGACTAGCATCAGTAATGATAGATGTGAATTACTGAGAAATAATTAGCATAATCTATAATATGAACATCTGCTTTTTCAATTTTCATTTTGAAAATATAGAAAAATAAACAAAAATATAGAACAAAATAATATCAAATAAGCAAGCATACAACATGTAAACTGAAGTGGTACAAATCATGTGAATTTTTTCAGAAATGCTTTTTCCCCTCCAACATTTTGAATTGGTGTCAGCTTGCTTGAGAATAATTTTTTGGATGTGAACAGTGCCATAATCTATCATACACCTATCTGCAGTTCCCTCTGCTGTCTTCTGCTTTGTCCAGGATGTATCTATAGCTGTAGTCTCCCACCATCCCCTGCCTGATCATTCTATGAAAGGCAATCAGTTCATCCTATTAAAGAGATAATGCAAGATACTCCCTCTCCAATGGACTTGACAGTGGCTATCAGGACATGGACATGACCCCTTTGTCTTTGCAACTGTCAGAATTTGAGGATGTCCTAGCCAGTGTGTATTATCTACCATATCAAGGGCATATTCTCATTGGATCAGATGGAGTCATTGTGGAAATCTCTAGTGGATTTCAGATTTCTAAGGATATAAATGTTTAAAAATTAAAACAAAACTATATAGTGACAAAAAATATCTCTTTCAAGAAAACAAAATATATAAAAAAACAAACCTCTTTAAGGCATTTTGATATCTCATTGGAATAGGAATTATTCTCATTTTTAATACTTATTGGTTAAACTAGAGTAAAATCTAGTTGTTGATTATTTTTACTTTTAATTTCTTACATTAAATAATAAGTTTAAATAATAAAATAGTTTCAAGATAAGAATCTTCAATAGGAATAAGTCTTTGATGGGTTACTTTTTAAATGAAGTTCAGTCTAACATAGCCCTAAGATGCTCTTTATTGCTTAATAATTATCTGCGACTTTTTCTGTTCTGTGGTGCTTAATGACCTTACCACCATATTCCTTCACCTTCTCTTCTGTATTTTCTTTACAATCCTCCTATAATCTGAAACTATCTGTTAGTTTAGTTTATGTAAGCAATTGTTCTTAACTTAAATGTAGTTTGAAAATTCTAATTAAAGTTCAAAACAGAAGATAATTTGCTGGAAACAAACCATTTTGGTGTTTCTAGTTGATTTTTTTTTTCTGTTTTTTGTTTTGTTTTGTTTTGTTTTTGTTTTCAGTTATTCTACTTGTTCTGTTTCTTCTTCACAGTATTTCTTCTCCCTATACATCTTGTACGCTACAAAGTGTACAGGGATTTAGGGGTTTTTTTGGTGGCAAAAAGACAAATACTGTTATACACCTACAACTGTCAGTGATGTGAAACTGCAGACACCTTGTTTCCTAGCTTAGATGATAGCAGTATATACAACAGTGTGCAGTAAGTAAAATTAAAACCACTTCATACCTATTAACAACTGCAAATTGGCTGCAGACGTCAGGCATTTTACTAGATGCAAAAGGTGGACCATAATCAGACATGTGGAGCAAATCAATGCAGCACTGTGAGTGTATTATTTGATAGTATCTTCAGTTAAGTAATGATGCTGTTTACAAGAACTTTAGTTAAGTATGTTAAATATCTTGTTGCAAGATGCAGTGCATCCCAGATGCAAGTGACAGAAAAAACACCACAAACAGTAAATTCCTTCTGAGTCTTACAGTTTTTCTAAAGGTTCATTGATGCTTCTCTTTGTTGTTTTTTTCTGTTGTTTGTTTGTTTGTCTTTTAAATGGAGTTTTTTGTGCATACTAACATTCAGATGACTAAAGATAAGAGAAATTTATAAAGTATCTTTTTTGTACTTTGTACAATAGATCTTAAAATTACTGACTGTGCCTTTCAGGCAGATCTTCACATATAAACTTTGCAGTCTTTGATTCAATGATTCATCTGTGCAAAGGGAAGAACAATCATGCCACAAACACCAGGATTTTGAGTAATTTATTTTATTTATTAGAAAGGAAGTAGTATCTTAGTGACAGTGTTCTCTTGTGGATTTTAAGTGGATAAAAAGTGACATCTAAACAAATAAATAGGACTGAGTGGTCTTATGGTGAAAGAGTTGATACATAATTCATATTATCAAGTCCTGTATACTTTGTTTTATTGATGTCCAAATGCATTGACACAAAAGTCTTTTCATATTACCAGCCAGGAGCCCTGCCCATTTTTATTTTGGCAGCTGAAATACACCTTCCAACTCTTTGCAAGCTGTTCTTACATTTGAGGAGACTGAGTTTACTTGTATATCCCTTGGTAATAATTTGAGGAGATAGAGGAAAGGTGCATCTGAGAAAAACAGCACCACTTTTCGTACTTGTATACTATGCAACTAACTGTATATATATACACTGAATCATATATGAATCATACATATATATACTGAATCAGTAACCAAATAAATATATATGTATATATTTGGTTACTGATTCAGTAACCAAAGCAACTACATGTATTTTACTAATGTGTTTATACTTGTACATACATAATACATGTGTATGTTTACCTAAATACTGATCTGTAAATCTTTCTGTATATGTAGACCTCTGTGAAGTGTTCTGTCTGTTAGATGGTCCTGGTTCAACTATGCATCTATGGGTAGATGGTACTTTTTTCTGATAAAATTCTTACTTTATCATTGGTTATTGGACTCTAAGTAGCAAGGCCCACTTCTTTGCCAGATAAAGACAAAGATAAAAAGGGTATATAGGTAGAAACTGTGGAAAGGCTCTCAATGCAAACTTCTGAAGATTTGTCACTTTGATGTAGAGTGGCATTGTACATTGTATACAGTCCCTACCTTTGATCATATCTTGCTACTGAAGACTGCATATAGAGCAGAAAAGCTCCTTCTACCTGAGCAGACCATACGTAACTGAACAAGCCATGTACACAGTCATGTCTAACACTTCTACAGAAGTAGCCATTCACAATTCTGAGACAAGCTACTCTTTATCTTTGAAATTACATCTATTAAGAAAGATGGTCACAGAACTCTTTTTGTGAATCTTCAGCATCATCAGGAGGGAGGGGTCAGTAGAGATTTAGCTAATTTTTTTACTGCTTGCATCTCCATTATCTGATGATTCTTGCTAAAAAAAAAAAAATATGAGATAATTCAGTATATGAGAAAAGGAAGGAAAAACTTCAAAGTTAAAAGAATGGGAACACAGAATACCCCATATAAGCCAGAATCAGAATCTTAGTATGCCATCTTTGTGGTGCATGGCAAGTACACATTGCGGTACTACACCCCACAGCTAAATAGATTTAATCCCTTTAAATAGAACAAGATAAGTCCAAGTATGAAACTGGCATTTCTGGTTTAACTGAATGAGTATGAATCCTCATTTAACTGAATGAATAGAAGAAAGTGAATAAGTGCAAGACTTGTTTCCTTCCCCTTCCCCTTCCCCTTCCCCTTCCCCTTCCCCTTCCCCTTCCCCTTCCCCTAGCTATTCATGGAAAAATACATAATAGCTATTCTAGAACAATTCTGCATGTGCGTTTTTTAGTTTAGAATAATTGTTTCCATTTTGATTTGGTTTCTTTGTTGTTTTTGTTTGTTTGTTTGTTTTTTGTTTTTTGCTTTTTCTCCTGAAAAATATATTTAAAATTTCATTCCCTTCTGGTTAGTTTCTGTGGATAAGACCTAATTTTAAAATTCTACAATAGAGGATGTGAATTCTTCAGATAATTTTAAACAAGAACCATTTTACACTCGTGGGACTCATCATCCTGTAGACAATTGCATTGCTCATTATAGAATTATGCTTCTACCCAAGAAGTTTCTACAGTGTGTAATATTGAAAACATAAATGGCATCAATTTCTCTGAGAAAATCCTTGCCATTCATAGTCTTGCACATGTGGCTGCGCACAGGAAGTAATTTTGAAGAACTAAAACAAAATTGCTTTATTTCACTTGTACAAGGCTTGTACAAGGACAAAAAGCAAAGACAGATAACTTTTTAATAGTTCAGAGCTACATCTACCCCTTGAGTGTTGTCTATGATCAGTTTAACTCTTCCTATGTCTTGACACTCTTCATTACTACATATACAGTTTTGAAGACTCTTGCAACAAGATCCACATTTTAGCTATAACCTCTTTAATTCCTTCACTGTCATCAAGATTGCCATGTTTAAAATTTTAATGGCTAATGTAGGTTTTATATCCTTGTTTTTTATCACTGAAATCTGTTTCATAGCCTAAATTGGCAATATATTAGTAGAATAAAATACAGTCATATGAGATAACAGTTGACATAGATCTTCATAGCAAAATAAGTGTAGAAGTAGGGTTGTTAAGTATGATAGTCTGAAGATATCAAGGCAAATCAAGTGGTAACTAAGGATAATTTTATTGCATAAGTTGGTATATTGGACAAACAGCCAAACAGCACTCCTTTTGTCTAAAATTTGATTTGTTTCTCCCAGCTGTGTAAATTAATATGATAAAATAGAATACTTCTCCATACAAGCTTATCTTGACGTCAATATGTCTATTTTTCTCGTTAAAACTACTTACATTGCTCGTTTTTCAAGTGCCAATGATAAGGATGCCCCTTATTCTGTCCTTTTTTAGATCCCTGGAACTTCTTCTGTTGTTCAGAAAAAATGGAAGTCTCTGCAGTCCTCAGCACAGCAACGAGGGCTGGGACAGTCAACAAAGTCAAAGATCAGTGCTGTGGCAGCTGAAATAAAACAGATTCGTGCAAGAAGGAAAACAGCACGTATGCTAATGGTTGTCCTCCTGGTTTTTGCACTTTGCTATCTGCCAATTAGCATCCTCAATATCTTGAAAAGGTAAAGTTTATCCCAAAATGTAAACACTTGGTAAAGTTTTCTGTCTAAAATCAATCCTCTGTTATGAGAATCTTAATATTCTGACAGATACTTTTGAAGGACAAGGCCTACTTATTTCATGAGAAAGAGATTGAAAATAAGCATATATTTGCAAGAAAAAAAATGAACCTAACTTATCTACAGTACTGAAAATCTTGGACAGTTTGTACAAGCCTTATTAGTAATCTCTTCCTCATGAAAGTGATCTATCTTATCTTCTCATTAAAACTTGCCATTTACATGGGAGTACATCTTGTTTGCTGTAAATGAACCCTGAAAGTGCACTTCCCTAAAACTGCAGCTGAAAGCTGCCAGGAGAAAATAGTGTAATGGCTTAGCCCCAAGGACTTTTACCCAAGCTTCATCAAGTACTGTTTTGAAACCCAGTTTTGAATCTATTTTTAGGATAATCCTTCAGTTTTTCCATTAAGCTGTTGTTTTTGGGGTTTTGCTTTTGTTGTTGTTGTTTGCTTTTGTTTTTAACTTTTTACCTTTTCTCTCTTTCTCATTTGAGATATAATTGTTTACACTCTGTTTTTGTGCAGAGCTTGACAAGTTTTGATACAGTTACATCTCTTGAGACCACTGACATACTGATAAACAATGACATATAGCAGGTTTGATCTTGAAGCTATTAGCTGTCTTCAAGAGATAAAGGATCGTTAGAAAAGAAACATGGTTTTGTTGGTGCTTGAGAAATATTTGATTTTCAACGTTGGATATGAAGGCTAGAATGCATCTCACTGAATTCTGACATATTTCTGAAGTCTGATTTAAGCGCTTTTCATGCTCAGATCACTTAGTAGGAGGTACAGAAATAAAGAAGTATTTCCACCTCAGGGCCCATTTGGTCTAAACCACAGAGGAACTACAGTCTCCTTCCACTACACTAGCAGAGTAGGCCTGCAAGTAGATGCATGTTTAAAATGAAAAAATTGGGCGTAAGGAATCAGGGCAAATTTTTCTGGAGTACAGAAGCTGCTATTGTGGCCTGCATAGCTCAGTTCTTGGCCAGTTCAATGCTTTTCTAATTCCACAGAGATCCTGTTGGATAACGGTCCCAGAGCTAGAAACCCCAGTTATATGAATTGATCAAAAACATTTCCCATCTTATCTAGCACCTACTGATGTTGCTACGTAGCAGAAAAGTCATGTATCTGCACCTTTCCGAAGTGCTAATGCTTTATATTGTGCAAACCCATCAAGAATAGATGCTGAGCCATAGGGAGAGGAGTTTATACTCTCAAGCAAACAGCAGCATAGAATCTTCTTTTCTGTGATACTGCAAATAAGTCATCAAAGGGAAAATTAGGCTAGAATTGGGCAATTACTCCTTCTCATATGATTTTAATTTTGCCGTCTTTCAGGTTTGATTTTCTTTTTCCTTAGGGTTTTTGGGATGTTTAATCATGCTGATGACAGAGAAACCGTGTATGCCTGGTTCACGTTCTCACACTGGCTTGTATATGCAAACAGTGCAGCCAATCCTATTATTTATAACTTCCTCAGTGGTAAGTTGCAGTTATCTAGAATTCAAATTTAATGTACAGTTTAAATGTAATGAGCCATAGTAAATAAGAAAATGACTGTATAACATCAGCTGCATTCCTTCAGTGAGAGCTAGACCCTGTTCCCTGATGAATAGCATTATCTTCAGACTATCTACCTATAACTAACCAAAAGAGTGCCAGCACCCAAGTCCAAGTGCTTGAATTCAACTGTCCATGCCATTAGTTTGTTGGAGAAGTCACTGGCATGACTTCAGTCTAAAACAATTATCATTCTCCTAAATCACTGGATAACGTCAGGATTAGCACAGCCCAAGGGCTGTCCCCAGTTGGCATTTTGTATGCAGCTATCAGGTCTTGGAGTTTGCAAGTGTTTAATAATACTTGCAGGGCCAGACTCTGCCAACTAGTTTCAAGGTTAAAGAACCAGTCAGGATGCTGTTTACTTACTAGTATATGTTTGTCTTAGTTTGTTATTCGTCTTATTTGGCTATGAGCTGCAGAATCATGACCAAAACTGGTTGTTTTACAGCAGGGAGAAAAAAGCTTGGTAATCCTCACTACATGTTTTCCTGCTTTGTTGGTTTTTGTGTGTGTGTGTGTGTGTGTGTGTATGTGGTGTTTAGTGTGAGGATGATCTAAACAATCTATCCCAAGCTCTGAAAGCAGATTAATAGGCTGTTGAATACATTTTAAAAAATTTATTGAAATTGAAATACAGAATAACCTCTCTCATTTCACATGTAAAGTAATGCTGCAGTCATTTAAGCCTACTATTGCTCAATTAGTTGTTTTTTTTTTTTTTTAATGTGTTGTTAATCAACAAACTATCCATACCTTAATTTCATAGGTTGTTCTACTTTGTCCATCCTGTCTTGCAAATAATTATTTAAACTTCATACCATACCTCACATATATTCTTATGAAGATTGTATTTTGTCTTTCTCCAAACCATTTAAAATGTTGTTTGCTGCTCCAGTAGTGATAGAAAAACATGTCAATGTTCTGGATTAATTTTGCATTAGATAACTCCTTTTTTCTAAGCTATAAAGTTGATTGAAACATGGTTTACAGTACAATTTTTTGTCATTACTCTTTTCTTCTGTTTGACAGGGAAGTTCAGAGAAGAATTTAAAGCAGCGTTTTCTTGTTGCGTCTTTGGTATTCACAGTCACCATGATGAACGACTCACAAGAGGTCGTGCCAGCACAGAGAGTCGAAAATCTCTGACCACCCAAATCAGCAATTTTGACAATGTTTCAAAACATTCAGAACATGTTGTACTGACCAACATAAACACACTTACGGCAAATGGTAATGCATTAATTACCCACTGACAGTATCATTGTTCCCACGTCTTTTGATGCTGTGCTAGTAAAATCTAATTGTGCATAGAACAGTCTTTAAGTATAATGAGAAAAAGTGTTCACAATTAAGAACTGACAGTAAGAAAAGTAAGTTACAAAATATATTTTACAGAGTATGCTGCAAACTTGATAATATATTTATGAATCAAAATTTCATTTAATCTCCTTCAAAGTCTGAGCTGCAATTGGAGAAGGCATAGAGTAAAAATATTTCGTTTAAATATTTTCTTTGGATTTCTGCATCCTTTAATTTCCTAAGTAAACACAGAACAGATAGCTGAAGATGTGAAAATAATTTTCTGTGATGTTGCAATCTGTTTATAAACAGATATATTTTACTTAGAGCTAACTAGCTGAAGTTATAAGACGTTTTGTAACAGATACCTGTATTAGCCAAAAAAGTGTAGCTTAAAATACCCAAATGTCTTTGGCTATTTCAAATGATCTGCTCACCAAGAGTTCTGCTGTGAGTTGAGCTGATCAAATAAGAAATTGGCATGAACTTCTCACATTTTATGTTCTTTTTTGTATTGGATATGTTTTTATATGTATTCCGAATCAGTGGAGAAGCCACTCTTGATTTTTCTCCAATACAGGTTGATGAGCATAGTTAAAAATAAAAGGCAGAACTTGTTCAAACTTTGCTAGTTTCATGTAGACACTAAAATGACTGTGCAATTCTCTATCTTGTGAATAAGTGGAAAATGACATCTAAATTATGATTTTATATTTCTTATTACATATATATATGCTATATGTTATATTCTAGTGGGATTTTACAAGTGATGGAATTCATCCTTGCTCTCCAAGATATGTGAGCACTGTTTGTCTAGAAGTTACTTAGGCTAGGACTATATTAGCTATATATTGATAACAGAGAACTTGGTATGTCCAAGGTAATCAATTCTTAATACAGGTATCTAAAAAGAACAAAATTAATTACATCTGAAGGTGTATGCCTTCCACTACTGTAGAAGACTCACCAGGTGACTCACTTAGTTCAATTTCAATCTGTCAGTGTTAATTACCCAGAAATAATTTTCTGCTGGATGCTTTGGTGGAGCATCAGCTAAAGGCTGATTAACATACTCTTCAATGTGTAAAGCACTTAATAGTAAAATGCTGGAAATCAAATCCAGAAATGAATTCCTTCTATATGATGATATTAAAGAGAGGATTTTCTTCCTCTAGGATTGTAGGATGGGATTTTTATTCAGTACCTGTATGTACATACAAATAAGTGCTCTAGATGTTTAAGCAACCAAAAGAGATCTAGGCTCAGTTAGGTTATATAAACACGGGCATCAGAAACTACCTATTGAGATTTTTCCTGATTTTTAGACATACTGTTGCTGGTCCAGAAGCATGTTACACTTCCCATCTCTACCTGTGAACCTCATATGTCTAAATGAACAATAGTGCTTTGCTAGCTTTACTGACACCCTTTAAACACAGTCAACAGTGCCTAAAAAGCTTTTCAGCTCTCTCCAAAATAGGCAGCAGATTGTTGGTCATTAACTACTGTCTACTTTCCATATTGTGACCAGGTTAGCCAGATTTGCCCTTCTCCTTTAGTGTTGTCATTTCTATATGTATGGTGCAAGCAAGATCACAGCAGTGAAACCCAGAAGGCAATGGGACTGTAGGTGATGTTTTAGTCTATTATTTGTCATCATTCTTTTGTACTTCTTTTGTACAGGAACCTGTAGTGCTCTATTGTTCAGTGTCAGATGGATAAGGAACAACAAGGCAATTTACCAAATAATGCATGTTTAATAAACTGAACATATTTAAATTTTTAAAAGTTTAATACATCAAAAATCCCCTAAGGCTTCAGGCAAGAAGTCTTTTACGTTTACAGTGAAATTTGAAATGTTTTCTGGCAGATTATTTTGTTAGTAAATCAACACCTCTATACCATTCAGAGAAAATACCAGTTGCAGGGTGAGCCAGCCAACTACCTGTTACAAGCAGTAAATTATCTTAAAATTCTTATCTTACAGGTATTACAGCTACATTCAGCCCTTTGAAGTCAATGGAACTGCATCTCCACATACCAGGGGTGAACGTGTCTTCAAATTTAGATGAAGCAGTGAGAATTTCTGCAGGATGCACTGGCAACACAGAGAATGCAGAATGGGATAAATTTGTCCCTAGTGTAACTAAATTTACCTCAATGGAATTGCAGCAAGGATGACTTTGGCTCAAAACAGCTGAGAATGGCATTTGTTTTTAGCTGTGTTACAGACTAGAACAACTGGACAAAAGGATTCCTGCAAAACGACTGCCTCTTCTACTTCTTCTCAGTCTTATGGAAACCTACTTACCTCAGTACGAGCTAAGCAACATGTCTTTACAAGTCTTTTTAAAGAGTGGATTGTATCATACTTTGTAAATACTGTAGATATTTATTTTTATATATTTTAGATGCTGTGGAATGTTCTAAAATGTACTATATAAAGAACTCTACGTATTTGAAAGAAGTCTCATTTATTTATATCCTGTTTCTATTAATGAATGACTTATTTACAAGGAATACTTACTTATGCACTAGTGGTATTCTGGAATTACTTTGCACTTCTTTTTCTGCTGTTTCACTTGTAGTAAATTCTGTATTAAGGAAGTTTCATTTCAGATTGATTTTGGGAGATTCCAGACTACTTTTCTAAGCACAGACATGCTTCTGAGATATGAATTAAAAGTGCTGAAAGTCACACATATTTTCAAAAGTTACACTAAATAGCCAGTCTCTTTTTCTTCAGATGAGTGCCTAAAAGGTAACTACTTAAATAAAACTTGCATGATGTTCAAAGGTGCTATTCCTACTCAGGCCACTAGGAATAACAAGTATCAGCACTTCTGAAGAACTGGACATTTTAACTTTGGTAATTCCTTTTAGTCCATAATGTCTGCAAGTGCTGCTACAGAAGATCTTCGAAGACACTTAAAATAGAAAACACTGATTATTTTGCTTGCTCTCACAATTTCTCTCTCATCTGCCATTTAACACCAATGATACAAACATTTAACAATTTCATGTGCCAAGAAAATGTTGATTTTTGAACAACTAAAATAAAGTATTTCTCTCTGGAATTTTAGAGCAGATATTTCATTGCTCTAGCAGATGAAATACTCACTCATCTACTTTTCATTTATGGGAGAAATTCTTTGGCCTGGGGCTTCCTATCACATATTGTAGTATTTTTCCTTGGTGAATTAAGCTGATACATCAATGGAGCTTAGTGTACTTGGGGTAAAGGCCACTGGCAATTTTTGACTCCTGCAACCCTTTGACATACTGGAAATTGAGGATCTGGCCTTAATTTTTTCTTTTGTAAGAAAAAAAACAATTCTTTTTTCTCCTCTTTGTTTTCTTTTCTGACTTCCACTAATATCCTCAAAACATTATGACGCTACTAAGAACTTATTTTATTCATAATTACAACTTCATATTCTTTAGTATGAACAGTATGAGATGTAATTTATTCACTGACAAAATTCTTTTTTTTTCTAGCCAGAGTGAAGGGCATATCTTTACGACACAAGTGATACAATCAAAACTTATCTAAGGTTTGAAATTGTAAAGGTGGGTGCAGTGTTAACTAATTCTTGCCAGTACATCAAATATGGTTACCCAGTTAAATACTTTATTATCTTGATGAAAAAAAAAAAAAAAAAAAAAAAAAAAAAGTGCATCCAAAATGGGGTTTTCAGAAAGAAATATTTTTTGAGGCAGATATTGTTATTTCTTTATTCATTTTATTTTATTTTATTTTATACAATTTGAGAACTACTTAGATATCTTTTTCTGAATTTTTCTTTGAAGATAAACCCTACACTGATAATGGAACATACTGAAGAGGATCCATGAAACGTGGAAAAAGAGTTTGTAAAACTGGGAAGAATATAGGAATGTTGTCAGGGCCTGTGGGGATGCAACAAGGAAGGAAGACTAAGGTCCTCTTGGAATTATTCCTTGCAAAGGAGGTAAAGAACAGCAAAAAGGGTTTTTTTAAGTATGTCAACAATAAAAGGAAGATTAGGGAAAATGTGATTCCCCTAATAAATGAGTTGGGTGCCTTGGTAACAGGAGACATTGAAATAGCAGAGATTCTGAATGCCACTTTTGCTTCAGTCTCTAATAATAAGACTAGCACTCAGGAATCCCAGACCCTAGAGGTAAGAGAAAGGCATAGTTAAAGGAATAGTTAAAGGTAGCCTTTCCTGTGGTTGAGGAGGATCTGGTCAGAGAGTATCTATCCAAAATCAACACAAACAAATCCATGGGCTTCCATGGGATGTACCCACATGTGCTGAGAGAACTGGCAGAGGTGACTGCTGAACTGCTGTCTCATTTTTGAAAGGTCTTGGCAAATGCGAGAGGTGTCTGTGGACTGAAGGATAATCAATGTCGCTCCAGTCTTCAAAAAGGGAAAGAAGGTGGATCCGGGAAACTAGGCCAGTGAGCCTCACCTACATCCCTGGAAAGGTAATGGAACAACTTGTCCTGCATGCCATCTCCTAGCAATTGAGAGAAGAAGATTATCAGGAGTAATCAACATAGTTTCACCAAGGGGAATTCATGCTTGACCAACCTGACAGCCTTTTAAGATGTCATTACTGGCTGGATAGGAGAAGAGCAGTGGATGCTGTGTACCCTGACTTCAACAAAGAATTTGACACTGTCTCGCACAACGTCTTTGTTATGAGACTTAGAAAACGTGGGATAGATGAGTGGATAGTGAGGTGGATTGAGAACTGTCTGAGTGATAGAGCTCAGAGAGTAGTGATCAGCAGAGCAGAGTCTGTTTGGAGGCATGTAACTAGCAGTGATTCCCAGGTGTCAGTGCTTGGTCCAGTCTTGTTCAACATCATCATCAGTGACCTGGATGAAGAGATAGAATCCACCCTTAGCAAGTTTGCTGATGTTACAAAGCTGGGAAGATTGGCAGACACACCTGAGGTTTAATAAAAGCAAATGTAGAGTCTTGCACCTGGGGAGTAATAACTGCATGCATCAGTACATATTAGGGGATAACCTACTGGAAATGTGCTCTGTAGAGAAAGACCTGGGGGGCCTGATGGACAACAGGTTGGCCATGAGTCAGCAGTGTACCCTTGTGGCCAAGAAGGCCAACAGTACCTTGGAATGCATTAGAAATAGTGTGGAGGTGACCCTTCCCGACTACTCTGACCTGCTGAGGCCACATTTATACTATTGCAACCAGTTCTGAGCTCACTAGTTCAAAAAAGACAGGATTTCCTAGAAGAAGTCCAGCAGAAGACCACAAAGATGAGAGCCTGGAGCATCTCCCGTGTGTGAAAAGCCTGAGTAACCCAGGTTCATTCAGCCTGGGAAGGAGAAGACTGAGAGGAGATCTGATTAATGTTTATTAATATCTGAAGGGAAGTCGGAGACAAATGGATGAGGCCAGGTTCTCCTTAATGGTGTGTAGCATTAGGACAAGGAGTAATGGCCTAAAATTATGAACATAGGAGTAGGTTGCTCAAAAAGGTTGCAGGTTCTTCTTCTGTGTAGATATTCAAGGCTTGTCTGGAGGCCTATTTGTATGACCTGTAGGGAACCTGCTTCAGCAGGGGGGTTGGACTAAGCGATCTCTTGAGGTCCCTTCCAACTCCTGCAATTCTGTGATTTTGTGATACCTGTGTCAGGTGATATTACTTGTGAGTGTGAATGCAAAAATTTTACCTGAGATCATGGGAATTTTTGACATGTTTACAGGCGAGAAGGCTGTGGCATGGTCCTCCAATTCAAGAAGTTCTTCAAACAGCAAATGGTTATCATTTGAGCATTCCAGGAAGGACCACCCTAAACTGGCTGTAGTCTTACACCTGTCCACAGTATCTAGTATAGTAGGAGGACATGGCTGGGTGGGCCTTCCATCTGAACCCTTACATTATCAATCTTGTGGTCTGTACTATCTACTCATACTTCTGTTTGATCTGGGTTTTTAGGTTCATGACTTCACTCATATGTTTTGTTGCTGAACTGTCAAGTTACCTGAGAGTTGTTCAGGAATTGAAGAAAATTACCCATTTATGTAAACATGTTTCTCTTAGCTTATTCCTTGCAGAAGTGTATTTAAATTGGAAAAGTGAAACCATGTTTTAGCTCTTACTTATCTACAGAGGCAAACTCATCCGACTTATCACCTATTATAAAATTCATAGTTGGTTTATCTTTTAAGTAGTCAAGTCAGTTTCTGACGTTTGTATTGCAAGGGGTTGTGTTTTTTTAAATATGTATCTTAGCGAAATTCCTAGTCTGTATATACTTACTGTTTGTTCCTCTGATCTGCTGTCCAATGTGGTCCACAGTAACTCTTTCCCTTTAGTAGACCATGATTCAGTCCCACATCTGAGTTGAAAATAACCAAAATCACTTCTGAAGTGCACTGAAAAGTGCTTACAGAAGATGGTCAAATGCGGCAACAGTTAAACAAAACTGAATATTTGAAAAGGCATTTCAGAAGAGATTATAGGAAACAGCGAAAGCCGTGCTCTGTTTGTTCCTCCTGAAATCAAGTACTAGCCGAACACAGGAGAAATGCCAAATTGCATGATAAACGCCTAAGAACTACCTCTCACCTACAGGCAGTCCAGCTCAACCGCTACTGCAAGGAGACAAATGAGAAGGGTGTAACAAATGCAGCAAGGGAAGCTCTGGGCGTAGGGAGAGGCTTGGGCTGCTCCCTCCCGAAGGAGGTGGGAAGAAGAAGGCACGAAGTCTGCCCGAGTGGGCTCTCAACTCTGCCTCCCGCGCCGCTGCCGCGGCCGCGGCCCCGCTCCCCCGCGTCCCGCCCTGCGCCTTCCTCGGGGGCCGGGCCGGGCCGGACGGGCGCTGTCCGCGCGCCGGGTGCTGAAGGGGAGGCGCCGCACGGCACCTGCCGCTGCTCGGCGCGGAGCTGCACCGCCGACGGCCGGCCATGGCCGCGCTGCTCTGCTTCGGTAAGTGCGCGGGCGGCGGGGGGATGCGGCGCCGCCAGGAGGCCCCTTCCACTGGCGAGACGCTAGTGTGAGCGTACACCTGGAGAGGGCTCGTACCGGTGTGTGTTATACAGGCCTTGAGGCTTGGACTTCTTCAGCCTGGTCCGCTAACGAGTCAGAGGTAAAGGCAGAGAAGCACCGCCAGCACTGATAAGAAGTTGAGCTGGTGAGGAGATCTGCAAACGGGATGTTTTTTGTAAATAAACAGGCACTTGTTTGCTAATGGGATAGCGTTCAGTGCTGGCAGTGCTATGTGGGTAATTATTGACATTTCCCCGTGAGTGTGAATGGATAAAAATAGGAAAATCAACAAAGCTGTTAGAAAAAGAATTGGTAGAAAGGATTATGAGACAAGTTTTCTTTTTATTTTTTCTGTCCTCTTTTTCCCACTCGGTACATTCTGTATATATGCTGCTCCTCTCGTTACTCTAAACTTCTAGTCCACTGTTAAAAACATTCTATAGGGAATTCTGCTTGGGATTTTATTAGAATAAAGCTGTCCTTTTTCACATTTGCAACTCCTGATAACAACTACTGTTTGTTTTTCTCCTTTGGAGCTTGCTATCTTTCTATTCTTGCTGCTGGTTGAGAAGACCCAGCTCGAGAAATCTTAGTTTCCTGTTCATTATTATCTAGCAGATAATCCTTCTTCAGCGTTGAAAGAAAGACTGTAATTCCCCTGTGCCTAATCTAGACAATGAAGGTGCTACAGTGTCCATATTCTCCCTTCCTTTTTAGACATCAAGTTCTTAAAACAAAACAAAACAAAACAAAAACCAACAAATCGAAGCAAAGCAAACAAATAAAAACAAAAAACAACCACATCTTTACACTTATACAAAAAGAGATTACTGTAGAAGTCTAAATTTAAGTGCCTTTGTGTCAAACTATATCACTCTAAAAGTTTTAGCTCAAAATATCTTTTAGATGCCCTGAACTTTCCTAATAGCAAACCAGTTTTGAGTACTCCAAACACTAAATAAATAAAGAGAGTGATTAAAGTAATGGCTATCAGTTCATGCAATTGTGCTTAAACTGAAGTGTATTGGAGTCTAAAATCAGACCAGTCTGCTTTGTGTCGACTTGACACTGCATGCCCTCTGTGTGCTGCTGAAGATATAAAAGATCGCAGTGTATCATTATATCTGGAGAAGTCCTTTTTTTAGGACTGAATTAGCCTCACTCACAAATTAGGCTGCAGACTATTTTACAAAAACATCTCTTCCCTTTTGCACAGTCTCCAGTTGGGTTCAAAATACATGCACTCTGAAATAATCCTAACAAAGTTGCTAATGAGCTTTTTAATTAATCCCCAGTTTAACTATTCATTTTTAGCTACAGGTACTGAAATGCTTTCTTAACAGGAATACTCTTAATAGAGTCTGCAGATCCTAGCTGAAGATGTATATTTCCCATTGTATCAGCACCTAAAACATATTTAAATGATCACTCAGCAAAGCATCCTTTCTTAAAAAGTTCCTGGGTACATAATTTTTCATTGCCTTATATATGCAAGTCATTTTCACCTGTCCAGCATTATACCATATAGCTGCATTTTCTGTCATCTAAATAAACAGTGAGTAACTTCACATTTAGAAATAGTCATTTATAAACAACCCCAGGAATTGCATTTTGTGATAATGAGCCAAAACTTATTCCTTTGGGTGAGCCAGTTTGACATTTTTCAGTGTTGACTGCAGAAGTTGCTTCTATCAGTCTTCTAGGCTGATTAAAAGAAGCAGCCTGCATGACTGTTCCAGGCTTAAAATGATTGATCTCACAACCAGCTCAGCATAGATCTGAGAAATTGGAGGATTATGGACAAGTGGGAAAGGATAAGCACCAACTTCACTCTCTTATGATGAGCACATGTGGCCTCTTCTGTGTCTCTGCAGCACACTAAATGCTATTGCACCTGTTAGATATGAAGTATTAAATGTTACAGCATCCTTATCAGTGTGTCTCCATGAAGTGATCCCTATCATTATATCAAGCTAAACATCATTTACAGAAGGAATAGCATCACTTCTAAGTAGTAGGAGCTCTTTGAGATTATTAAGAGCTATATTTGTTTTTTTGTTTCTCAAACGCATCATTTGAAACACTTAATTTATCTGAATAATGGCCTGACAAACATGAAGAGAATAGTTCATCTCTCCTACAGTTCATATTTAAGGATTTGAAGAGAGATGGAAACTCCTCAAATTCCACATGAATTTGAATGTCATAAAAAATGGCGTTGCCCAATAACCAAAGCAAAATCCCAGAAAATGTTCAGCAGCTAGTTTGATAAAACCTTAAATAAGTGTCTGAAACTTAATTTTACATCAAATATACATGGTTACAAATTAGAGGTTGTGTTGCCATGGAAATGTTGATGAAAGAACAAACCCCCATCTGGTTTGTCTTCTCGGAGCAAAGCAATCTTATTTTCTACAGATAAGCCAGAGATGGTGCTGATTTAAAATTCTTTACCTTGAAAACTTTCTATCAGTCTTTCATAAGTTTTCGAACTTTCTAATGCAATGAACACTGCCTTTAGGTTCAGTGCACTCAGGGAAATAGATAAAAAATGTGGGGATTGCTTTCATGATGATGATTTGCAAAATAAAATCAAAGAGATTGAATAAAAGTCTATTATCTAACACTTGTAGAGCTGTCAGATCTCTTTTGTATCTTCTATTCATAGGAATTCCTATGTACCCTGAAGTTTCATTAAATTGCAATCAAATAAAATGATACATTCTCTGAATGTCATACTCAATCTTCCTTTCTGCACTTTATGGTGGCTCTCAGAACTCCAGTCATTTCTATATATCTGTACACAGATGTCATACATAGCTATAGCTAATGTCATAATACTGGGATAAAAGCAATATGAAAGAAGCCACACTGCAAGTTTGAAAATTTTGGAGTTTTCAGCTGTAAAACTGAGGAAAACCTTTGTTCTAATAAAAAGTAAATTACTAGATCACTTTATGGATAAAATACAGTAAATTGTATTGTTATAATCTAAGTGCTAATGAGAAAAGACAATACTTGTGTTAAATGGTCATTATATTCTGTTTTACAGTGCTGCTCATGTACTTCACAAGTGTATCTACTGCCCAGACTACTGATTGCCCGCACTTCAGTAAACAATGTATGAATGTTGCAAATGGGTGTGAGAGCATCTGGACTGTTGTTGAGGATGTCTGCAATATTTCAGGTAATTCTTTATGTTTGTCACTTTTGAATGACTGAGTTGTTGCACTTCTGTAGTGAGCCATAATATTGCTGTGGTAAAAGACTGAAATCAGTGAGATTCCAAAGAGCAAATGGCATCAGCAGACAGTTGATGTCTGAAATCCTTGACGGTAGCCGGTACTATCTATTGCTACTAACAGTGATGATGTCCCTTACATAAGATGGTAAATGTAATTTCCAAAATAAAAGCAATGTCAGAGTCCGAGCCAACTCAGCAAATCTGAATTCAGAGGAAATTATTCTCCTGTAGGATTATGATAAACATTTTCCAGCATGTAACTAGAATAAGATTTCAGCCTTTTTCTCTGTAATTCAAAGTTGATTTCATACCATAGCCAAAACAATGGAGTAGTCTGCTAATTTTTAATACTGTATTATAGTAAGAAGCAAATTAAATAAAGCATTCCTCAAAGAAAGTTGTTATGTAGGAAGGTATATTGTCTTTTTTCAGTGAATAGTACCCATATGTCTGAGTGATTCACTTCCAGGGGGTGATGATACACTAAATTGCAGGTTATGGATATGACTAATCCTCCTTGAATTGTTGAACAGATTCTTACATAAAAGAAAGCAAAAAATCAGTCTCTCTCTCTTTACTACAATTCCAGTGTTTGGTGCATCATTTCCATCACTTCCTAGTGAAATATAATTATGTTGTAAGTGGGAGAAAACTAGGTATATGTCTGATCTAAAACTCATCTTAATCTCAGTTGTAGAAGATGTTGCTTTCTCCATAGACCTATTATCTTCTTGAACAAACTATGTAGAAGTACTTAGGTATCAGTCACCACCTCTCCCTTTTTCGTAATCTAAATTTTTATGTAAAGATTTAAAGAGCTCATCATTAACTATTAACTATTCACTTATGAGATGATGTGAATACAGAAGGGAGAAAAACAGTGGCAAAACAGCATGGCAGTGTCATTAAGATGACCTAGTAATGTTTCTTCAGTGTGCTGATAAACGTCAAGAGCCTTGATTCACCAAAAACTACATCTGTACACAAAAATAAAATGGTGCAGGGGCTGTTTTCTGGCCCTGAATTCAAGCGTTATGGGACAGCACTCTGAATTCAAGTGTTATGGGACAGCATGGACCCATACAGCTAACTTTAGTGCTGACTGTAAAAAAAATGCCTCTCAGGAGTGATTCTAGATCATAGAATCATAGAACCACCAAGGTTAGAAAAGATCTCCAAGATTATCTAGCCCAATCATTCCCTTATCACCAATATTTCCTGACTAAACCACATCCCTTAGTTTCATGGATTCATAGAATGAATCGGAGAATCATAGAATGGCCTGGGTTGAAATGGACCATAATGATCATCTGGTTTCAACCTCCTACTGTGTGCAGGGTCACCAACCACCAGACCAGGCTGCCCAGAGCCACATCCAGCCTGGTTTTGAAAGCCTCCAGGGATGGGGCATCCACAGCCTCCTTGGGCAACCTGTTCCACTGTGTCACCACTCTCTGCGTCAAAAACTTCCTCCTAAATGAGCACCTCCAGGGATAGTGACATAGCCACTGCTTGGGCAGCCCATTCCAGTGAGAAGAAATTTTTCTTAACATCCAACCTGAATCTCCCCTGGCACAACTTGAAGCCATTCCGTCTCATCCTATCTCTGTTTATATGGGAGAAGAGGCTGACCCCCACCTTGCCACAGCCTCCTTTCAGATATTTGTAAAGAGCTATAAGGTCTCCCCTGTGCTAGTTCTCTCAGCTGCTCCCTGTAAGACTTATGTTCAAGACCTCACAGCTTTGTTGCCTTTATGCTATGTTGTCCATGCTATCCTCACCACGTAGCTGACTCAATCCATTACAGGTACGATACTAAAATGCAGCAGTCTAGGCACAGACACTTGCCATTAGCCTAGCCTGTGCCTTGGTCTTATTCATAAATTCAGCCAAAAGGATTTAGATATTTAACTGCCATTTCTAGTAACTTAATTCTGTAAGGTAGGTTCTCGATTTCTGGGAATTACCAAAGTATTTGAATCACCATGGGAATGCTCCTTCTCCTTGTATGGACACATCCTGAACAAAATCAGCCATCTCCTGATGCCATGATCTGTTAAGAGCTTCAAATGAAGCAGAGTTCATGAAATGAATGTCCCTCTGTTTGTTGCAACTTCATAGGCCAGCCTCATGTTTGGTCTGTGTGGCACACCAGGCAGAAGACGACACTGACTTCATACCTGCAGTGTGAGCTATTTGAATTCTCCTACTGTCTGATTTGTTGCAGAGATTTGCACTCAGGTGTCCCATGTCACAGGCAGTATTTAAAATAATTAGGGCAGGAAGTCATCTGTGAGTTCCTTCTTAGTGTGTCCTGTTCCAGATACAAATCTGCTTCGTACAGAATGGCCAAGTACTTTTAAGAACAGAGAGAGTAAATGAAAAATACATGATATCCTAATGGCTACAAGAGTCCCCAGAGGAACTGGGTTTCAGCTTGTGCTCTGTTGAGTTTTTAAATATTTTATGAGTTTCAAAAATTGGTATTTGAAGAAAAGTATTGGAATATGCTGTACTTTCAGGATCAAGACAGTGAGCTAAAGATGAACTGTCTAGACCCAAACTTCTTCCTCAAATTAGAAGATGAATTTGCATCTTTCACGTCATTCACAAAGGCATTAGCACCAAGGCTACTTGACATAAAGGTCAGGATTTGCGCTGTAGCTTTCACCACAGCCAGGTGAGGTGAACCAGCATGATCAGTTCTCTGGAATCCCCCTTAGATTTGTTGCATGTTCCCATGTTATGCTATTTCCCTCATTTATTCTCCTGTGTATTTATTCACTGATATTAATGGCATATAACTGTGCCAGAGAACCCTTCTAAAATTAAACTCTTCCCATGATTGCTTGTTTGGTTTTGCGTTTGTAGATTTCCTTATGATAATAGCTTTTGGCAAGAACTCTTTGGTGCTGCAGAACACTCAAATTATGTCTAGGACGAATTATTCTAAATGTGTTTAGTATGTGCCATGACCTCAGAGGGTATGAACCCAAAGTCAGACACTGATGGTACCTCAAAGAGAGCCCACTGCAACAGCAACAGAAAAACTTAAACAACAGCATTACTGCTGAGAACATTATACTACCTGTCAAGAGAACTCCACCTGTGCAAGAGAAAAAACTTAAAGAGTGAGCTGTGTGAATGGAAAGAGTCCCTTCAGTGTTGAGCACAAAGATGTCAGTTGGAGACAATAGGCCACGGGGTAAATATTGGTTTTTCTTTATGAAAACCTAACTACAAATGATAATCATGCTCCTGTTCTGTGTTACAAGTTCAGCAGTTCAGTCACTCAGGAGACAACCTCCAAGTTAAATACATGCATTACCATGACCTTCATTTATTACTCTCCAGAGCAGGACTGGGAACACTCAGCCTAAGTGACTCCTTTCTCAGTCACACTGCCCATCACTGCTTCTCTACTACAAAAGCTTTTTCAGAATCTCAACTTATAGTCTTCTGAGACAAACCCTTCTTCTAATTTCTTTTCTATGTCCTGATATTGTGGGAAAAAAAAGGGGGATCAAAATGTCCATGAGATGGAAAAGATTAAAATATTCGCTTTTCATTCTGAAAATTTTGAATCCAAAATTTTTGCTTTGAAAATATCAAAAATGTTTCACCATTGCAGAATGAGGATTTTTAAGGTTTGGTTTTGTTGTGGTTTTTTTTTTTTTTTTTCCTTCTTTTTATTTCACTGAGCAAACTTTTTTTACTGAGTTTACTTAGAATAACAATCACTGAGACTGGAAAGGTTCTCTGCAGATCTAGAGCAAGACCCTTGGTCAAGTAGTGTTGATTATAAGTTGTCTTCCAGGAGTGTGTCCAGTTGGATTTTTATATCTCCAAATATGGACCTTTGCAATCTTCCTGGGCAACCTCTTCTTCTGTTTCACCACCCCCATAGTAAAAAAAAAGTTTTTTCCTGATCTTTAAGTGGAATTTCTTGCATTTCTGTTTGTGCCTTTTGTTCTGTCACTGGATTGGGCCTGACTGGTTCATCTTCCTCTCGTCAGGTATTTATATGCATGAATATGTGTGTAATCAGTATGCCCCTGAGCTTTATGTCCTCCCAGCTAAACAATCCCATCTCTCTCAGACTCTCTTGGTGAGGCTCCAATCCCTTCATCATTCGTGGAACTTTGCAGGACACACTTGAGTATGCCCATGTCCCTCCTATATTCAGGAATCCAGTATGGGGGACACAGTACTTGAGATGTGGTTCACCAGTGCTAGAGGGAAAAAACCCCATGCTTTCCTCCTGATGCAATTACCACTGAGATGACTGAAGAGCTGACTGTGCAAGTAGAAAGATTATCACCCTGGAACTGTAAGCTTCTTTTCTGTCACACTTCTATCTGTGCTCACATGTACATAAATTATGTACATATAAATCAATCAGATAATGAAGAATGATTGCCAAGCATTAGGTCAGAGAATTTTTTTTTTGTAAATGCCTTGGTAGCATTTGTATAAGCTGAAATTTATTACCTAGAACTAATGAATGATAAAGCGAAATAATTGAAAACCAGCAATAAAATATTTTCTGCTGTTCATCACAGCTGAATCAACAGAGAGTACAAACAGACCAGTGCTGATAATAGGTTCTTTCTACACAGCTTTCAAGAGGCCAGGCAAGGGGTAAATCTGATATGCTTCCTGATTCTGTTGATGCTCTTTGTAAATTCATAACCCCATAACCTACATCCTACCCACTGCTGCTCTAATTCAGCAGTGTGTTTGTAGGACACAATGATGGAAATGTGGCTGGTGCCATCAACTTGAATGAGCCAAGTGAGGGTGGGAAGCCTGCATGAAATATACTGGGATTTGAGTCTCTTCCCAGCTCCATCCTGGAAGTATCTGTAAGCCCATCAGGAAAACAGTCAAAATTTTGTAAATTAACCACTTCTTACACAAGCTGATCTTTGCTGTTGTTTATCTACAACTGAAATTTGTCCTCCTGAAGTTGTATCCTGAAATTCTTTTATTTTCCCTTTCTCAGTTCACAAAGTAGAATATCCTCCCACCTGCCTCAGTGGATCTCCATAGTCCTCATGTCACCATGTACTTTCCTCCCTGTCTTTACTGTCAGAAAGTGACCTTCATAGCTCCTATAGACTTCCTGAGTTCCTCGGCTACTAAGAAGAGAAAGAAATATGAGAGCTAAAGACCATGTCTTTCTCTACATCATAAAATCATAGAATCATAGAATCACAGAATCACGGAATCTTACTCAGAGACTGGTTTGAGTTGGAAGGGACCTTAAAGCCTATCCATTTCCAACCACCTGCCCTGGACAGAGTTTCTACTCACTTATATCAGGCTGCCCAAGGCCCATCCAACCTGGCTTTGAAAGCCTCCAGGGATGGGGGTTACACTGCTGCTGAAAATGCAGAAGGCAAGTTGAGATGGGATGGAGATATCAAGGTAAGCCAAGGCACCATGACTTTACTGAGACAAGAGATGAAGTGGAAGTAGAGGATGGGAGCTGTAATCTGTGATAGAATACAACATACCCCTGGAGCAGTGCACATCTTCGTGGATCCCCAAACCCTCCTTAGTCAGTGATGGAAACGGAGAAAGTACAGTGCAGGCACCATTTGAAAAAGGATTCAGGATTGGTAAAACTGATGTGTACGCTATTGTGCAGTTAATTCTCATTCCTTCAGGCACTCCTTCCTCTTGCAGGCATTCATCTCAGCTGCTTTCCGCTGCCATTCATGTCAGCAACCTGTAAATGACATTAAAACTGTAATCACATTATAGTTGTCAGCAGCAGTGGTGACAGAAGGCTGAAAAGCAGCAAGGCAGCAAGGCAGGCACCACTGCTAACAGGGCACAGACAGGAGCCGTAGGCAGTTTGTAGGTTAAAACAGATCTTCATGCTGCCCCATGACCAGTCTGAATCTTGTGAGCCCCATATATGTATGCCTTACCCTAATATGGCGAGATAACTCATGCAGCAAAGAGAGGGGAATGTGCTGGTCTAGGGAGCTGCGTGCCTACTTTCACAAGGAAGAACATGGCTTTCACATTATAAAGCTTTTTAAAAATGGTAATAAATTGTTTCCTGTATAACTTTCTTAACCAACTTGAAACTTTCTCAAGCAAAAATGGACGCACTCGTAAAACCATTTAGACCATAAAGCAGAGGGCTAACTGATTTATTTTGTCTCATGCTGCTGAGTGGCCTCTGATCCCAGCTATGTTCCTCCTCTACTCCCCTCCCCTGCAGGTATTTCTACCACCAACCTCCAGCACAGTGATGTGTGCTGGCTTACCTCACTGTGAACATGGTCCCTTAAATGAACTCTTTAAGCCAAAAGTGCACTAATTCTGTTCAATTCCTGTCAAAAGTAATCATTTTAACATTTCATGTACCTTGGAAGAGAGAGCAGAAACAGACATTCTAGCAGCAGGTCAGGCCGAATACAAGAAGGAAATATTGTGCCTACATCTTTATTACATTGTTCTGAATATTATTTAAAATTTGTAAATTATGTCAGGTTTTCAAAGAAAATGAGGTTCGAGGCATCTTCTTGTGGCAAAACATATTATTTCTGTGCTTCAATTGAATTGTTTTGTGTAACCATATCCCTTAAGCGTTCATAAGCATTAACAGCATTATAATTTTAACTGTGAGTTCCAGGTAATAGATGCAAGGCAGAAGATGCTATTGGCTGTAATAGAATCATCTGGGCTCTGGCTGACAAATATCCAGATTTTAAAAACTGTGTCTGCACTACAGATGGTCCCTGCAGCATCACAGCTATACTCGGGAATCGATGCAGTGGTGACAAAGGTAGTAGTTAAACGGGAAGTTTTAGTTGTGAAGAAGTAAAATTAAAATATAACTCTGCAACCCTCATTTTAACTAGATTCAAGTTTATTTGTGCATTTCTCAAACCTTGTAATTTACCCCCCTCAATTTAGTTACGCTTTGTCTTTTCTATGATATTAACATTCTAGCATGCACATGAAACCAATGCTTTAAAATAAATAAAATTAGTAAAAGGCATGTGAGGAATTCAAACGGTCTTGCAAACCCTTCTTCCATGCAATGGGGAGCAAGAGTGAAAACACTGGGTGTGCTGAGGTCTCCTCATTGCCTTGGATCCCTGTTATTCACATCAAGCCCTTGTGAATGGGAGTGAGAGTGAGTGGCTTGCCCCATCGTGCTGTTGAGTCACTTTGCATCTTCATTGCATTTACTTGGTATGGGGGACACTGTGACTGCCTTCACAATTAGCTGTGCAATAAAGCAGTTCTTAATACATAGAAAGCTTCCTCTTTAGAATTCCATTGTAAACAAGGGTCCCAGCTCCTTCTAACTTATTTTATGCTGTTCTGAGAACTAGAAAATACGTTTCTATAACTGAGAAATACTTGGTGCATGTCAGACTGGCAGCTCCTCACCCAATTTAATGATAGTAAATCTGACATGAGAGCAGTAAAATCAGCCAGAGAACAAGAGTCTGGAAAGCAAGCCCTGAGGTTGATTCCCTGCTCTGATTCATCTGATCCATCACTCCCTGCTGACATCAATGAGTGTTTATCACACACAGACTAGTAGGATATATATCTTTATTCCAGAGGAAATAACATCCTGACCTGAAACATGAAGAGTGAGTGGCTAAAATCTGCTGTTCATGTCATTGGACCACTTGATTTTGCTTTTAGCAAAAGAATTATCTTCTTTTTATTTATTTTTAATTTTTTTTGGAGAGAGAGAGGGGGAGAAGGACTCTCCTCTCCTCTCCTCTCCTCTCCTCTCCTCTCCTCTCCTCTCCTCTCCTCTCCTCTCCTCTCCTCTCCTCTCCTCTCCTCTCCTCTCCTCTCCTCTCCTCTCCTCTCCTCTCCTCTCCTCTCCTCTCCTCTCCTCTCCTCTCCTCTCCTCTCCTCTCCTCTCCTCTCCTCTCCTCTCCTCTCCTCTCCTCTCCTCTCCTCTCCTCTCCTCTCCTCTCCTCTCCTCTCCTCTCTTCATTAAAATGATAATCCACCGTATGTCCAATCTGTATATGGCTAAAATTATTTGACATTAATCCCTTTATATTGTAATTGCAGTGAGTGGCATTTGGCAACTGAATTGCTGAACTAGACTATACATTATACAGATACCAGGAATGAAAAAGATATCTGGAACTATTATGTATATATACATACAGCAGAATCTAGTCATGTCACAATTAGGACCATTTCATCCACTTTTCTGAAATTTGTTGTGAGCTGACGTTGCAACTTCTATTCAATGTCTGTCTTTTTTTTCTGTTTGCACAGAGAGCATGGAAAGTTCATCAAGATCAAATGCTGAGCTGAGTTTTACGCAGCACAGAAAGCCCCAAAGCCAAAGACACCCCGATGAATCAGAGAAGGATTGCACCACTGCGAAAAGATTCTGTCAAGAGGATCTGTACTGCTCCTCAGTGTATAGGAGTTTCCAGCAAGCGTGCCAGGCAGAGGCAGCAAAATGTAGGATGGGCAGCCAGGAGTGTTTGTCAGCATGGAAAGAACTGAGGAAAACAGTGCTGGGAGAGTGCAAGTGCTCTGATCCACTACAAAGGAGATGCCTTAAAATATGGAAGGGAATATTTAGCAACCCTTGTTTGCAGTATTCTCAAGGGAACCAAGATTCAGTAGCTAGTGAAAATGGTGATGAAGATGATGATAATGGTGATGATCATGATAAAAATCAGAACACTGACATAGGTTGGTGCTATTCCAGAACTCAGAACCCTTTCATACATGCGTGCGTCTGTGGAAAAAACAAATTCTTAAACCACTGCAGTTTACCATTGGAAACAGGATAGTTTTGAGAGGCTTACTTAAATACAAATGAATAATCTGAAAGCAAAACAAAAGCCTGAGTGAAAACACTATTTTCCTTCAGTTGGTTAATTTGGTTACTCCTGACCCTAATCAGTCTCTTTTAGCACTACACTATAGCTGAAAAAAAAGAAAAAAGTTTCATTTTACATTTTTCAGAAGTTTCATTTTGCATTTTTCAAAAGTAAAAATAAGAATTCTCTGCCTGCATTGACTTCATACTGAACAAGCCTTCTGAGTTTTAAAAAATGTGTACACAGATGAATGCGTTAAGGCCACTGGCCTTATTTATTCACAATAACCCTGATTTTATTCTGAGCTGAGCATCTCTACAAACTCTCCTTCATTTCACATGAATGTATAATTATGTATCAACAGCCATTGTGAAAATGTGCTTTCACCCCAAAGTCTATAAATACATGTCACAGTGCTGCTAGAGTTTGTTAAAAGCTGACAATTCCTGACTGATCACTGAGCTGATCTATTTTATTCTTGTTTATTTTTACCAGCACTACTTCAGCAAAACACAATGCTTTAAAGCTGAAAACTAAGCTGCGGCATGATTTATCAACACTGCTCATATATGTATATCCATATCTTTCTGTTTTAGACAATATTAGTATGGAAACAAAGCTACAGTGGAGTTTATCATCTCTCTCCAGGCAAGGTATGCATTTATTTCTGGATCCTAGAAACCCATTTTATCTCTGTTCTCACATAATGTGCATTGTATCTCCAGATTAAAATGAATAGTTTTCATTCAGATTACTGAAGAGCAAGGAGTCAGTAGAACCCTGAATATTTTAGTTAAACAACTGGATAGATGAGAATCCAAAAATGATAGGTAACACTCCTGTTTCTGTTATATTTATCGAGGCAAAACTTATCCCATAGCCCTTTTGGAATTAGAAATAGCTATATAGTTTTGGAAGGCTTATAGGACAGCCTACAATTACCTGAACTAGATTTTAAAATGTCATAGTGGAAATGTCAGCGTTTTTAAGAATCCATTAGTAGCTCTTGGAAGCTATGGGATACTCCAAAGAAATTTCCATCTTGCCATTTCTCACTTTCTTCTTACTCAATTATCTGGTAGGGCAACAAGTTACAAGGGGATTGCATGTGAGAGGCAAGCAGTGCAAGGGTAGAATATGAGGACAACAAAATGAGCTTAGAAGAGACAGTGTTGGAAAAGCTGGCTAAGAGCTTTGGGAAGACTAACTTGTATTTAATGGGAATAATGCAGGCAGGTTGACTGCCAATCATCATGTAAGATTTTCTTGTAGTTTCATTTTAAAAATCATTATTCTTTTTAGCATACACAGCAAACAGATCCTGTTTGGATGTGAACATGGACTGTGTTGAAGATGAAGTATGTAACAAACAGTTGTCCCTGTACCTTAAGGTCTGTTCAGTAAATAAGAAGTGCAACATGGAAGAATGCCAAGCGGCCATGAGGTTCTTCTATCACAACATGCCTTCTGAAGTCGCCCAAATGATGACATTTTGTGACTGCGTCCAGCCTGATGAATCCTGCCACAGTGCCAAAGAACTTCTTCATGGCAAGCCCTGTGCAATTACTCCAGCTCCACTCCCATCATGTCTAAGTGTAATTCGCATGTGTGAGGAAGATGAATTGTGCAGGTAACTAGAAGAATGATTACTTTTCCTAATCTCGGCCAGTTGTGTGCCTGTGAATAGTGACTTGATCAAATAATTTTTGTATTTCTCATCTATAACAAAATGATTTTCAGCACTGTATCTATTCTATATTATCTCTTGTGCTTGACATTTCAAAAAGTCATACTTTATGGATACAAACAGCAGAGAATTACCGCCTTTAATCTTTGATCTTTACATCTTAGTTACCAGTTTTAGAATACATTTTTTACACACCACCTTCCCACCAGGTGCTTTTCTCCTCTTTGACTTACTCTTGCATGATAACTATAGGCATCTAGAGACCCTCTTCACACAAACTCAAATAGAGGGGATCTTTAAATCATCATGCGTAAGAACTGCAGTGAATATTTAAAATCAGATGTGGGCAGAGAACATTTTACTAGGCTACATATGGCACATTAATAGGTTTGATTAGCATAATTTACCCAATTACCCAGTCAAAAAAGTTAGGTTATCTATCCCTTGGCACAGACAGCAATTCATTGAAGTCTAGTCTGAAAAGAGACTACAAAGCAGCAGGTTCCATTTGGACATCTATCATAGATGTCTGCATTGAAACTGGTAATTCAATAAGTAATCCCACAAGCAAACCACAAACATTCATTTTCAGACAGGTCTTGGATCATCAGTGGCCTTTTCTTCTGCCTGTTTCATGACTCTTAACACCATTTTGGCTGGACAAACTATTCTGTATAGTATTTTCATTACCACTTTCTTCAGATAACACCTGCCAGTCTGCTCCTTTGCCCCCTAGCAGTTTACACAAATTATGCAGCAGACTGGGAGAAGTTTGTTTGGTTAAAGTAATTACCTCTTCCACGTTAGCATCTCATCCTTCAGATCCAACTGCTGTTTGACTAACTTGGCCCTTTGTAAAACTTTCATATTATTCTTTTATTCTCAAATAAACATGAAAAAAAGCTGCCCTGGAACAATACACGGACCAACAAAGTCATGAAGAGGAACAGTTTTCAGATTTTATTTTAGTTTAGAAAATATGCAACAGGATTAGCCCGTACTCTCTCTTCTATTTAATGGGCACCTTTTGGGGATGGCCAGTTGGCTCACATTGGTTTTCAGTGTAGTCGCTGGTTCTCTTGTGGATTACACCTCAATTTCCCCTCAAAGCTGTGCATAATTTTACTCTCAGTAAACAATGCAGGAGACCAAGAGACACTTTCAGTTCAGAGCAGGCTACTCAGATTGACGTCAGTGGGAAATGCCCTTTTTTATGTCAGGAAGAACTGGGCTACGAATGTAAGTCTGTGCATGTACATGTGTACACATGCAATACCATAATGGAGACTTGCTGAATTACCCATTATTTTGGGAGCATTAATGTTTCCTGGCACTGACAATAAGTGGACATAATTAGCTAAATTAGTTTGTGAATTATAGCTAGCCATATCTATAAATCTGAAGGTGAACAAAAATAATTCCATTAGCACAGAGGTGGCATCTGCTTTGAAACCTTTGCTGGTGTAATAAAAATATTTACAATAAGGCCCAAGAACATTTTTCTACGTGACTTGCTTGTAACAATTACACAATAGCTGTAGTAAATTAACAGCCTAATGTTATGATTAATGAAAGAATATTTTAAGATACTACAGTACTCTACATAATGACATTTTACCTTTCTTGTCTGCCAAGATTTAATATAAGTGATAAACTGGTTTCCAGCCAGTATCTACAGATTACTTAATTAATCTTTAGTAAGTCTTCTCTTTGGTCATACCAAAAGCACTAAATATTAATTTTATTCTACTCTAAGAGCAAATAAAATAAAATAATTTAAGTCCATAGAGTTGAGAAACAATTCCTCACATAACATCTCTTCACTGTCAATTAATTTTTAAGGGCAAGTATCTGCAATGAAATTCCTTTTCCATATCCTTGGTCATTTTGTATTTTGTTAGCATTCTATCTGGAATTTTTGGTTAGTTGGTTGGCTTTTAGCACTGTATGCAGATTATTTTATTTCAATTAAACTCAATATTCATTTTTCTTATCATGCTGCCCAACAAGCTCATCCCATAGAAAGGTGCCTCTTCTGTTTTCATGATGGTGAGTGGTCTTATTCTTCCACCTGCTGTCCCTAAGGATCTGGGACTGCTGGCATTCACAATGATTTCTGCTGGACCCTTGGAAAGACTACACAGATGCTGGTTTGGGGTACAGCTGATTGTTTCAAAAAACTTTTTAAGTAATGGTGTAATTTCAAGTTACAGTTTTGCAATTTCACTGAAACGAACAAGGTGCAATCAAATCAGAGCAGAATTTATGCCACCTACTGAATATTTTGATTTTTAAAGCTTACATGGCACTTCAAGAATACACTCTCTTTTTATGATCATCCTTAACTTTCTTTTTGTGACATCACAGTTTCAAAACCTGTACACTTCTTTTTTTTTCTGCCAGGAAAAAATACAAAGCTTTTTGGGACAAATGTTGGAGACATGTGACCAAAGAGTGCTATGACGATGAAGCTTGTCTTGAAACTTTAATTAAAGACGACATGCCCTGTTCTGCAAACGCTGATTGCAAAGCAGCCTACATCGGCAACTGGGGCACAATGCTGCGTGTGGAGTGCACCTGTCAGAATTCACCACCGGCAGAACAGTCGCTGTGCAAGCTCTTCCATCACATGCTTCACAGCACATCCTGCTTCAGTCAGCTACGTGAGTAACAGATGTTACTTTAAAGAATAATTAATTTAAAATCTTAAAATGCTAACTTGCAGCAAATCTTAACCATATCTCTGCTATAATACCATGGATTTCACCAAGGTTTATTATATCTGTAGCCTTTTAATCAAAATTGAAACACAGATTGCATGTGCAAGTTGTTTTCTCTGGTTGTGGGCAATATTTTATACTGTCAATACATTGGCTACAAGTCTCACTACATTAATTTTCTGGTTGGAATAACAGTGAAAGAACAATTTTGGGGGTGAGAAATATTATGCAGATTAGAAAAGCTTCAGAGTCTTTCTATCACTGATTTAATGTGGTACTTTGGCACAGCGTTAGAACAATCAATATCGTACATATTGGCACATAGAACACAATATACATTATGTTTTTATGTTTTTCTTCCTTTCCTTTTCTTCTTGGAGACTAAATATTAGCCTAGCTAAACTTTAAGCTGGCTAACACACATTAAGAAATGATTTAGTAAATGTTAACCTTACAAATGATTGTTATCTTAGACACAGTTTAACTGTGTTGTGAAGCTTCATAAAAAGAATTAATGATCTGCTACCTTCAAGTGGTTACTTAACAGCAATGAGAAAGAATACAAAACTAAACTGACAGTTCTCTAGCTATAACTTCTGAGCACAGATCCTGTTTGTGTTAGAAACTGGGACACGGAAGGCAATGCAATAAATTCTGCCTTTTTCAGGAGAGGAATTCATTTGTTTTTCTTTCTATGCAGTGGCACAGAATGATGCACGCCAGTATGTGCTAAATATAAAACTCCTTGCTAAGACCTTCTTTAGGACTCAGTCGTTAGTGCAACGAATGGCAACATGAAAGAGAATATCAGTGTTTTCATATGGGTCAGGAGAGTGCTTTTGAAGCAAATCCCCTGTTTGTTTGTCCTCACTTACTGTGCTGTGAGTTACGTCCCAGAGTGGTTCAGGAGCAGATGAACTGGACTCCCACAGCCTAAAACTGAAGCTGAATGTTCACCTAATGCATCAGCTCCTGGCCATGCCACCTGTGGACCTACGACCTGACTACCCTCTCCACAAATACACATAATGTGGCACTTATATCTATTACATGAACTTGCTAAATGCATCTATATGTAATTATATATTCACATGGTAGCCTGGGAGAAGGAATTACTTCCAGAGATTTCAGAGAAAAGGAATGATTATGTCACAGTTCCATCCAAGTGACTTTTAAAAACAAATTAGCTGCATACATGCATTTCATCGAATGATTTAGCTAATTTTTGAGTTTTAGCCTTCCCCCAAAATTGCTAATGATAATAGTATAATTTTTTCCTGTCCTTCAAAATACACCTGAAAACTAAATTAACTGCAGAAACACTATGCTTAAGCTTAGACAATCAGGACAACCAGACAGTTCAGCCTGAGAAAAGTTTAAAATTGCTGCACCAGCTCCTCTGACAAAGTAATACTGTAACACTGTTAGATTTGAGACTGTGCTGGCATTGAGTTTCCTGAAGAACATTATTTACTTGCTTGTTTTCTCCATGACTGTATCTAATGATCCAAACTAACTCTGTTAGTTGCTCTTTACATAGCAAGAAGAAAGATGTTTATCATATTAGAATAATCAAATAATTGCTCATCAGGTTTTGCCATTCACTGAAGCAGTCTCAGGATAAAAGTATTTTTGTGATGGGAACTTCCCTAACCTAATTGGGATTGAAGAACAGAAACTTGCTTGTTCCTGTGGTGCAATGAAGTTCCTGCTAGTCAATCGAAAACTGGCGATCCAAAGCCCTTGTCTAAGTAAAGGATTGGTACTATTGCTGCCTTCCTTAGTTCTGAGGCTCTTATCAAAACACCAAATAATAATATTTGTTTACATTATTATTTAAAAATAATAATTCAAGTTGATACATGTTTCCAATCTTCAGGTCAAATTTCAGTTAGGAAAGGTTTTCATTGGCTGAATACAGAAATACCAGGAGAAAAGCTTTCCAGAACACAACTGCATTCATCTTCAATTAATGGTAAGTTTGAGCAAATCACTTCTTGATTTTAATAGAAGCACTGTTGAAATTTCCCTCGTATTACAGAGAAGACTAAAGATTAACTCCCTTGGGTGGTTCCAGGAAGGTGAGCTTTACCTTTTCCACAGTCATTCAACATTATGTGGAAAAATCTTTCTACTTGCTTTCCTTATCTTACAGAACCACAAAGTAAAGATAATAAGGCTGCACCACTTACTCTGACAAGTGGTTTTGAAATAGACAGCTCACAATCACTATATTATAACTGGGTACAATTAAGCTATTAAGCCCACCATAGCCTGACTCTCCACACGGTCATTACAAATCAGGAGAATCATAGAATCACAGAATATCCTAAGTTGGAAAGGATTCATAAGGATCATCAAGTCCAACTCATAGAATCAATCAATAGTCGTCATAATACGTAAAATAAATGATTAGCTTTGATGCCACACCTGCTTCCTTCCTAACTTTCTTGACTTTTTGTGCCATACTAGTTACAGTGAAATTAGGAAGATGCAGTAGTTGATCTGAGAAGGGTGCTGCATTACACTCCATCAGCTATTATCTTCTCATGCAACAGCAAAGCCTGCAATTGTGGATCATGATATCTCACGGATTGAAAAGCAGCATCTGCTTTTCTTTCTATGCATTTACAGTAAGCAATTAAGTGACATAAAAGATACTGATTTAATAAATTTTCTCATAGCTGAAATAATATTAATTTTATATTTCTTTTTGAAGGACCCCACTACAGAGTAAGAATACTAAAAAGCTCAATGCACAAATACTGTCTTTAATGAGAAACATTTGCTCTACCTTGCATAGGGCAGATTGCAGTACTCCATGTATTACTACAAATTGTTTCCTTTTTTACAAGAAATGTTCACAATGAACACCTTTAACAGTGAACAAATAATTCATGCTCCACATGCAGTACAAAATAAAGGATATTCCATCAGGTCCACCCTTCAGCTTTTGCTGAAGTGTCCAACCTGGGAATTATAAATATAGATGTTAGTAACAGTATTCCTGAATGAATAATTGAGCATTCCACTGTCATTTTAGAATAAAAACTCTTTGCTGTATCTTGGAAGCATTGTCTTCTTTTTGCCAACTACAGGGGGAGCCTGAATCTCTGGCTGGCTGGAACTAGACTTTAGTGGTTAAATAATGAATGTTGTAATGGAAGAAATCCTGCTTAAGTGAGAAAAAGTAAAATGTGAGCTATTTCACCCCAGTGACCAGTTCTAACTGCAGACCCCTTCATTGGGTAGAATGCAATACGTATTTCCCTCAAAGAATTAGATAAATGTTTGCAAAAAGCAGGCTGCGCCTACTTAATTCTGCTCCAACTGAAATCTGAACACTTTCCAAAAACACATCCTTGAACTCTAACAAAATTTTGGATGGCCTTAGAAAAATAAAAAGAATGCTGACCAGCCTGAAAGATAAAATAAAATATTCCTCCTATTGGAGCTGACATGTGCACTAGCTGGGAACTCTCTAAGCTATATATGTCTCATAGGAAGCCAGGTCAAGGAGAAGAATCTGATTTCAGGATATCTACCTGATGATAAAAACCATATTGCAAATTATTCCATAAATCCCGCTGCCAAAAATCTATCCCTGTACCCTGGATGTATATGCTAGTAAATGCGTATCACTTTGGCTGCAAAGGGAGTTATCATCTTTAGAAAGTATTTATCTTTATTGAAATCAAATCCCAAGAAGAATCCCATGGTGTAGATGCAAAATGGTTAAGTTGTCAAATACATTCTTTTGAGTGTCTGAAGATATTTAAGAATATTTGCTGAACTCAGAATGCTGGAGATAACACTTGCCTATGTGTTGTCTGTGCCTCAAAATCTCAGAAGAGTTCTTAACTTGCATAAAATACAAAGATCTTTCACAAATTCAAATTAATGTCTGTCTGCAGATGAGCAAGCCAAGAAAGAAATTCAGTCCTTATTTAACTGTTCCTTAATTCTTTATCTCAAAAAAGTTACTGCTCAAAAAACAGTTCAAAAAAACTTTCCTGGTTTACACAGTAGTACTGTCCATCCTTGGATAATTGAGCAATTTTTAATAAAAGGAGTGCTTCCTAACAAATAATAAGTATAGGCATATATACCAACATATGTACAAATGAATATGACCCTCTTCATTGGGAATTATGCCATTTGGGTGTAAGCAAAGATGCTTTGCTGTGAATGCAGTAGCCAGATATCTTAGGTCCAAAGTAGTTCAAATGAACAACTCCATAATCAAGAGCTAACCACTTGCTGTGGACAAATTGACCCTTGGTGACTGTACAAATGCACATTCCTAGCCTGCAATAAAATTCAACTTAATCCATCTCTTACTGAGAAAAGGAGAATAGTATGTATAAAATGCTGCTGCAGAGAAGCTGCGACATAATGTAGAGGTAATGGTAACATTTTACAGCCTGGCATGATGTATATCAATGACCTTAGCCTCCTAAATTAGGTTGTGATGTTTGAAAACAGGATTAGATATCTAAAGTACTTTGGCAACTATTGGCCCAGGTGGCATAAGGGTGATGATAGAGGTCACCCTCGCTACTGTGTTTAGCTCAGTGAGATCTGCCACACAAGAAATTGGCTTGTGTCAGGAATATTGAACCACAAGACATCTCGAAAAGAAGGTGTAAAAGATGAAGTTCTCTGCCTTTTGCCCTTTGGTTTGCCATGAAAAACAGGACTGTTTAAAATTCTTAACGGGATTTTCACTCAGTCATATACCCAGGAGGATACATGACAACCTGTGGGTTGATTTGTCCCAGTTAAAACAGTGTGATGTAAGCAGAGGCCTGATTGTTTACAAAGTTGATGAGACTTTTCCTGCAAGTTTAAATGGGACCAGAATCTTATGTCATAGTACAAAAATCAAGTGACAAACTAAACAAAAGCTCTCCAAACCTCAAAAAATGCTGTTATTGCCCATGTAGTTACC